AGCACTTACGTGGAGACAGGTGTGAAGTCTTTGGAAAGGGCATCTCCTGGCGTTTGTAATGGCACGTATGGGGTGATAGGTGCCAGCAGAGGACGCTTCCTTCAGTAGCTGGTTGGGGAGAGGGAACAGGGTGTACCCTCTGGCATCTGGGACGATTTATTAGCCGAAGATTGCTAAGGCCTCATGGGAGCGGGCGGCACGCCACCAAGTCCTTGACCGTGAAAACGGGGTGCTGACTGAGCAGGTACTCCGGTTACAGAGGTGCTAAGGGCTCTGCTTTTCCCTCCTCACTCGTCAACTTCCCCTCTTCTCCAACGCTGAAGGCGAAAGCAGGAGTCCATTCTTTTCACTGCTCTGCATCTGTGCGAATGAGACAGTGAGGCAGGCCCCGTGCCTTCTTGTCGCCTTTCCTGGCCCTAAAGGGGCTCACATGTTTTGAAGCCCCAGCTGCCTTGACAAACCTTCCAGAATTCTCTGTCAGCTGTTCGTCTGCTGCCTGTCCTTAGGAAAGATGCTTGTCTCCGTCTGGATTCCATATCAGAAATTTCGAAATAGTTGTAATTCCTGGTAGTGCCAGTGTAACTTCCCAGAGAGAAAATATGTTATCCCCATGGTGCTGTGAGTTTGCAGAGACCTCCACGGTGTCTTCCGTTTTCTCCTTTTTATGTAGTTGTGTTCCCCTATCTGGAGGAAATTTTGGGGGAAGATACTCTACAGACAGTTTGATTTGGAGAAAAGATAGGCTTTGGACCAAATGTAAATGAAATGTGTATGAAAAAAGCATTTTTGTTTTCAGAAAAATTAAGTTTTTAGGTTTGAAGGCAAAGGTTTGCTGTTATTGTTTGTCTTTGGTTTTTACTAACTAAAGTGGACAGTTACCCTTTCAGATTATCGTTTATATCCTGATTTATACTTTTGATGTATTTTTTTGAGAAATTAATCTCCTAAATGTAAATTAAAAAAAACAAAAGGTCACTGATTCCATTGTATTATACCCATATTTTCTCCCTTCTACAAAATTGTTTAGCCATGAATGTAATTTGAAAATATGTTTTTGAGCTTTAAAGTTGTAGAAATGTCACTGATGTTGAGTTTGCAGATTGCCAAACCCAAAGGTCAGATTTAGAGAACACACACACACACACAGTAGGACAAAGATCCAGCTTCTGCGTGGTTTAATTCCTCTTCCCCTGTCGGCCTACAGACAAAGTGCAGATGTCTCACTATGATACTGGCAGCCGAGGCCGGGAAGGACACTGGGGTTCCAACTAGGGTGAGCTAACTTGTTGAGGATGGGCTGCAGCGCCTGCCCCACCAGCTGCCACCGCTCCTTTCCCTGTAAGATTTATGGACGGGGCCTGTGACACTGAGACAGAGAATTAAGTTTGAAAGGTCAGCCTTGACTTGGGGGAGGAGGGGAAAGATTCATTTCTATGCACCTAACTGCCACAGCAGACTTTCGAGCCAAAGTAAAACTGCAGGACTGACGTTCTGATGGTGATTTGCCGGTTGGAGGAGATTCCTGTGGTTAGTTGAAAGAAGTCTGCTCCGTGATGTTGTCGCAACATCAGGGCTAGGGATTCACTTGAACTCGAATTCTGCGCCGTCACCTTTGCGACCCGGACTGAAGAAGACTGAGAAGGCCAGGTTGCTGAGGAAGGAGTTTAGCTCTTTGGCGAGAATTAATAGGGGCTCCCGTCAAGGAGTTGGGTTTCCTGCAACTGTTTGCGTAGGAGGAATACGTACCTGAAGTGTCAGGCTTCTTGGGATCATGTGGAGATTTTCTCCTGCGGGGTCTATTACAGAGCCCTGCCAGCCTTCCCTTGGCAATCACATTTTCAGATCTGTGCTGAAGCTGTGCAGATTTTTCTCCTCAAGAGAGAGGCCGCTGTCTTAGCATTTAGTAAAATAATTGTTTATTGAAGAAAGGTTCATATCTGTTTCTGGTATCACTAGAGTCACTTGTGACCTCAGAGGAATGTTGGTTAGAGTTTTATTTTCTACGGCTAAGGCCGCTGGTATGAGTGTTATGCAGACCTCTGCATGTATGCACGTTTCATGCTGAATTCCAACCCTTGGTCACAGTGGCAGTAGCTGACAGTGCTCCTGGAACAGCAGAGCCTGTGCTGTCCACACCAACAGGGTCATCTGAAAGGGCCTTGCATGTTCTCCGGGCACAGTTGCCTGTCGGTGAGGAGGGGCACCAGAGCCCAGCGAGGACAGTGGCTGCAGACCTGGGCCAAAGGATGAGTGTGAGGACAGTTGTCTTCAGCAGGGAAGGGACCTTGCAGCCGTGAGAATAAGGGTGTCAGCACCGTTTCACATAGGGAGTGTATCTTTTAAAAATGTTTTAAAGGAAGAGTTATACAGCTTTTAAAATATGTAAATGTCAAATTATATCATTCATTTGGGACACACATATCCTTTTCTTTCATTCTTCTCTTGCCATTTTACTTTTATGTATCAGTCTCTCTACACACACACACACAGAGTATTTTACAAAAACGCAGGATTTTTTTTCTTTATTGACTGAACAGTGCGTGATACACCTGCAAGGACTCAGTAAATGTTGGTTTAACGATGATTCATCACACTGACCCAATTTGTTTTACATCGCTTTTCTCCCGTCCCTTTATATTTCTTCAAAATTGATTTTGGGCCCTGGCTTTTCCACCCTGGCTTTTGCAATCAGTGTGTTATCAGCTTTGCACGGTTGAGAATGTTTGTGGAAAACACTGCGTAGCCCGTCAGTTCTAGGAAAAGCCCCTGACGTAGGCTTTTCTGTTACTCCCAAGCCGCTGGGTGCTTGACGAATGGCGATTTTATCTTATTTTCCGGGGGCGGCATGGAAACACTGAGCCTAACATACTTTCCAGAAGCAATCGGACCTTACCTGATTAAAGCTGTACATTTCTATCAAGGACAGTTCACCTCCCTACACAAACCAGAGTGAAGAAAGTTCACTTTTGTATTGTAAGGTGAGGTGATGGTCACTTACCATTTTGGTTAACTGTTAACGACATTGAACTATTTGTTAAAAATAGTGAGAGGTTTGTTTATTAGTTGGCTTGCTTATGCTCTGTCCTTTTCATGCTGTTTCTTTTTTTGTGCGTTTTTAGAAAAGAAATTTCACAAAGAACATCATGATCATAGTACTAGGAAAAGGACTAAAAAAAAAACCTCATCCACAATCCTCTCACACTCCAAAACTTCTTCTTAGTTGTCCTTGCTTTGTCCCAGAAACCTTTTCTGAAATATCCAATTGTTAGAGAATTTGTGTCTTTTTCATAAAAATTGAGGATAAGTTCTTCATCAACAGTGTTTTATTTAATGACAAACGTGTGCCTCATTTGGTGTATCAGTTGTTTACTGAAGTTGTGTTTGACAAGGTCCCATTTTCGCATGATCTTAAATTGTTACTAAATTCAATGAGTCTGCATTTCTGAGCATTTTTTTAGTTGGCAGTGGTCTCTGAATCCCGGTCTTTGCATTTCTCTTATAAAAACATTTAACTGTTGGGGAAGATGAGCATCCGGTAAATCCCTTCAATCCCGCCCCACCCCACACACCTCAGTTGACTTCTCTGTAACTCCAGGTTTTCACTTTCTGATTCTTTTTTAACTAGAACAATTTCCTACCTTATCCTCTAGATGTGTTATATGAGAAATAGCTAACTAAGGGCTAGTTAGGGGTAGAAATTAATACACATTTGAATTATAGAAGTATTGATATATTTTGATTTTCGAAGCCAGAATATTGGCAACATGGGAAATGTGATTCATCTGTATTTCCAAAATTTTCACCAAGTATTTGTGAAGTGCCACGCTCGGTGTTCTGTCATTTGGTGTGGAAGATACTGATGTGCAAAACGTTATTGTTACTGTAAGGAACTTTCCACACTTGCTGTCTACTTTCATCATTCCATTTAAAAAGAACACATAAACCCTGGCTGGTGTGGCTCAGTGGACTGAGTGCCAGCCTGCAAACCAAAGGGTCGCCAGTTGGACGACTCCCAGTCAGGGCACATGTCTGGGTTGTGGGCCAGGCTCCTGGTAGTGGGCGTGTGAGAGGCAACCACACACTGATGTTTCTCACCCTCTCTTTCTTGCTCCCTTCCCCTCTCTCTAAAAATAAATCAATAAAACCTTTAAAAATCAAAATGCAAATTGTTTTAAAAACAATACATAATACTTGGCATGGACTTTGGGTTTATTTATTTGGAAATTTCAAGTAACTATAAATAAGCATGTGTGTTTTACTACAAATTCATACTTAAAGCATAGTAGAACAGCAGTTTGAGTTAGAAACATCCAAGCATGTTTGGGGGGCAGTTTTTTATTCTTAAAGGTTCAAATGGCTCCACATAAAAAAAATTGAACAGAATGAAAAGAAAAAAGAAAAGCTCACACATGTTCGTTTGCTAAAGCTGTGGAATACATAATGGTGGGGTATTTACCTGTTTTTGGAATAGCTGGACTGCAAGTCCCGTAAAGCTGGAGACCATATCTATGCACCACGCCATTGTAGACTTACTCTGAGCACAATCCCTGGCATGTAAAGGTGCCTGAAAAATACAAGTTGAATGGATGAAGGGGAAAAAAAAGAGAACCAAAAAGATGAGGTCATTCACCCCCTTGCTTATAGCAAAGACAAATTAGCCGTCTTTTGGAATATAGGTTTATCAACATTTCTTTAAAAATTGTAGCCAAAAAAAATGAACAAAAACAGGAAATCTTTTTAATCATTCAAGGCTCCTGTTCCTTTGTGCCCCGAATCAGGCATCGTTGCAGTCTCTTATTAGAGGGCATGTGTGAGGGAACGCTTAAGAGAGTCACAGCTTTGGCTAAGAAGCCCTCTGACTGCTCTGGGACACACCTCTAGCAACGAGTGAGAAAAAAAAAATCCAGGTACCATCACAGCCCTGAGATGCTGGGCCGCCCATCGGAGGGATGACGATTCTACATCAGCTTCCAATGTGCTCCCTTCTCTCTCCCCCTCAGGTTGACCTTGGCACCATGATTCCCTGCAGAGCAGCGCTGTCTTTCGCCCGATGTCTGATCCGGAGGAAGATCGTCGTTCTGGACAGCCTAGAAGATTCCAAATTAAGCCGTTGCCTGTCCACCGTGGACCTCATCGCCCTGGGGGTTGGAAGCACTCTGGGTGCTGGGGTTTACGTCCTCGCCGGGGAGGTGGCCAAGTCCGACTCGGGCCCCAGCATCGTGGTGTCCTTCCTCATCGCCGCCCTGGCTTCCGTGATGGCAGGCCTTTGCTATGCTGAGTTCGGGGCCCGAGTGCCCAAGACGGGGTCCGCGTATTTATACACCTATGTCACCGTGGGGGAGCTGTGGGCCTTCATCACCGGCTGGAACCTCATTTTATCCTACGTGATCGGTAGGTTTCCCAAAGTTGATCAAGTGTACGGAACGGGGGCAGTAGCACTCCTGAGTGCAAAGCCTTAGGGGCCCCTTAGGCCCCTTGGGTCTGCTTTAGGTAATGATGCTGTGATCTGGAGGGAACCGCGTGGTCCCTGGGCCTCCCCTTTTTCTTACCTCTCAGTGTCTCTCCTCCTCACTGCAACACTGGGTGATTCTGCTTCATCTCTGAGTGTGCCTCTTAATGGATTTAAAACCCTCTTTCTAAAAAAAAATTTATAGTTCTTTAATGCAAATAGAGTGACCTGATGGTGACGGACTTGCGCATCTGATTACTATTATATAATTATAAAATGATGAAGGTATTTTTATATGGGATTGAAATCTTCAATTCTGCCTGAACTAACCCATGTTTATCCTAGAATAGAGTGGCAGTGGATGCCATGTTAATTTTCTCCCGGTGACCTTGTATTCTCCGAATGTTCTGTGTTTTGGGAAGGTACATCGAGTGTTGCGAGAGCCTGGAGCGGCACCTTTGATGAACTTCTCAACAAGCAGATTGGCCAGTTTTTCAGGACGTACTTCAATATAAATTATACCGGCCTTGCAGAGTATCCTGACTTTTTTGCGGTGTGTCTCATATTACTTCTATCAGGTAAGGAGAACAGTTACACCTCTCCCTATGTCGAGCCAGACTAATTGTCTCAGTAAAACAGGTTACCACTGAAACTGGCTAAGCTTGAGTTCCCAAGACTATGCAACGTGTTTATATGCTTCAGTTGTGATTGCAGATCTGTGGGCCAGGCTGGAATCACATTTCATCTTTATCAGACATCAGGCATGCTTCAAAATTAAATCTAAATTGAAGGATTGGTAGACATAGCAGTTGGGGCTAACGGCACCTGGAATGGACTAAAGAACAGGATGAGGCGCATCAGTTTTCTAATACTAACTAGAGATCTTCAGAAATGGCCGTGAAGTTTCAGTAAGGAAGCATGCATGATTTTGGGCATTATATTAGAGCAACTGAGGGTACTGGCAAGCATACTCTTCCTAAAAGAAAGTCTCTGTTTCTATTTATTCCTTTAGCTATATAATGTAGGCATCTGGTTGAAAAGAAAGCATATTCTAACCACCTGTTATTTTTTAATGTAGACACTATATAGACGAACGTACTTAGTACTAGATTTTTTTCATTTTCGTCAGCACTGTAGCAGAGTGACTTAGAAAGGCACAGGCTTAGAGTCAGAGAAACCAGGTGTCTTGTCCTACGTGGCCACCCACTATCTTTGGGACATGGAGTGACTTCAGTTTTCCATGGCTCAGTTTGCTCGTGCATAGATGCCAGTGTCTGTCTGGTGCAGGCTTCCTGCTTGGTAGCTAGTAAACACGTAGATGGCAGGCTATTCCATTTTGTAGGCATAGTTAACCCTTGCTGTCCCATTAGGTTTGTCTTTAACTATTTGAACATTGTCTGTTCTGATTGTCATCCCCACCTGCCCTCCTGCTTAAACCCACTGAGAGTAAAGTCCGTGTTTGTTCCCACTGCCTACTTGATAGGCCCTGGGTCATCTGCTCCGCCTCTGCTGGCCAACCTGGTCTCTAGCTATGTGCTCCCTTGGTTACAAAGATGTGATCGAAACATCTTCCTATAATGAATGTTCACCAGTACAATTTTACAGTTTTTAAAATAGTTTTTCCCTTTAAAAAGTTGACCATTAAATGCTTTATAAAGAGATAGGGTCAGGGACTTGAACAGAATTTATAGATCCAAAATATTTGTCACTGAGCTCTAATATCAAGAAAAATCACCTTCATTGTTTTCAACAGGTGTGAGTGTTTTGGTTTCTAAACAGCTGAGCCAACATTAAATTTGTTAGATCAAATTTTATTTAGGAACGGTTTCAGTGAACCTAAAATATCTGGCTGCGATCTCTAAACAACGAGAAGCATGTGGCCGAGACACAGTTAGAATCCCTGAGCTCGGTGATGAGACGCAGGCCCTGCCTCGTTCCACTCATCTTGTCTTCATCGACCATCAGGTCTCCACTTCAAATCGAGGCTAGGCTTGCACGCTGACATCAGATCATTTGAAGATAAAACCTCCTACTACAAATCTTTATTCATAGTGTAACGCCAAATATCTTGGCAAGTGAAGCAGTGTTTCTTAACGGCCCCAGGGAAGTGTCTGTGCAATATTTGGATGAGATAGTCACGGGTCTCTAATTAATCTGCTGGCCGGAGATGGGGATCTCGGAGCAGACAGTGCACGGGAGGTGTTGGGAGACTTCTCTAGAGCATGACGGTGGCTGGGCTGCTTTCCAGGGCGTGTGGTGGTGTAAAGCGTGTATTTCCCAGCTGCGTCGTGGTTCCTAACCTGACAGAGAGTTACAGAGTCGGAGTTGTACTGACCGCACAGTTGTCCTCAAGCTGTTAGCACAGTTGTTACTGCTGTAGATTCTGGGAGTTGCACGGGTAGAAGAATGAGGTTCGACTTCTCCCACCTGTATTTGGGGAGTTGTGCTGACTCGGTCACAGGTGTGTCGTTGAGAGAGAAGCAAGCGGACATGGGGTGTAACCCTTCCCTTGCAGTCCTTCCCCAAAAGTGAAAAGTACATTTTGTTTGGTCCGTAGTTCATGTCTTACACAGGGTGGCTTAATTATATAAATAGGATAAATATAATCATAAAAGTACTAAAAGAACACAAAATTGAATGGGGGTTAATATTAGGGAAATTCTAAAGGTAGAAACTAAAAAGGAAATTATTTACATTCTATAACATTTTTTATATATAACCAACACTAATATTAAAAGGAAATGATACACTGGGAAAAACATGAATAATACGCGATAGGCAGAGATCTTATGGCACTATTATTAAATTCATACATCTTGTAAATCAATATGAACAAGAATAGCCTAACAGCAAAAAAAGGGGCAATTTAAAGTAGGCCAAAAATAATGGAGAATATTTTGATTACATGAACCGAGAGCCTTGTAGGAAAGCGTATAGGCTCGATACCATACTAACTTAGAGAAAATGACTGTAAAGAATTAGTTAGAAAGTATAAAGTGGCATTTATGAAGAGAGGACTATGTCAGTTCTGTCTGTAGTTTTAAGGAACTGAAGTGACCTGATGGTCTCTAAATAAGAGACCACCGCACAGTGTCTCCACAGAGGGGAAGGGCGTGCGGCCGTTAAAATGAGGCCATCTGTTAGTTGACGTGCAGTGTGTTTGCGTGTGTGCATGCACACGTGTGTAAGTGTGAAATTCCGGACGGGAGGTTACACTTGATTTTATTTCCTTTATGTGTGTCCTGTCTCTTCGAATTACTTGAATGGGAAACTGACCACTTTTACACTCTGCATATAAAGTAAAACTATTAAGATAAGAATCGATTTAACGAAATATCTTCTTGGCAAGACAGTTGAATTATTTTGTGTATGTAGTCAACATGAGGCAGGCATATGACTGAGCTTTCATTTTCAAAGTTTTGAGCCATGAACTTTGAAATGACTTTAGAGCAGCCTGTCATTAAAATTAAGTTACTTTGCCTCTCCCTGCCCATGGGTGATAACAGGAGAGGTTACTAGGTTTACCTGCGTCCTGGATAGAGGGGTGTGAGCACAGTCTGCCTTCTGAAACCGGGGCGGATGGACTCAGGAGATGGTGTTTCTCCGGCAAGTGAGTACGAACTCATGATAGACAGCGATCAATGTGGCTTGAATATACGAATGCTGGTGAAATAATATCCTAACACCTGTAACTGCCTCAAAATGCCGTGCCTTTGCTAACACGTAGGTAAAACTTAAACTGCCTTTCCTTTTCCCGTAGGTCTTCTCTCGTTCGGAGTGAAAGAGTCCGCTTGGGTCAATAAAATCTTCACAGCGGTCAACATCCTGGTCCTTCTCTTTGTCATGGTGGCTGGGTTTGTGAAAGGGAACGTGGCGAACTGGAAGATTAGCGAAGAGTTTCTCAAAAATATATCAGCGAACGCCAGGTAAAGGACTTGATTTGGGCTCCTGCCCCTCTCATTTTTATTTTTTTCCTCATTTGTGTCTTATGTTACATTTTCCTCTGGAACTGAGGTTCAATGGTTCTCAGACTTTTTGCTCCATGGAGACCTTTCTCAAGTCCGTTCTGTTCGAGGACTCTTCTTCCCGGGCTCCCCCGAACATAAACACATAGGCGTGCTCACTGGCAAGCAGGTGTTGGAAGCCAACTGCTGGTTCTCGGCCTCGAGCTGTGCTCCAGGTTTAGGGGAAGGACAGGGGAGATTCTAACCATTGAAAATGGCTTTCTTTTCCCCAAAAGTTGGCCACCTCCACAGAACAATGAGTGTTTTTGAATAACGCATCCTTTAGTTCTTCCTTTGGCACCACTATGCATTGCATGTTTTCAGCCCTATAGTAATTTCCAGGCCTTGTTTTTTTGGAGAATATTATTGGTTGCATAAGCAGACCTGTCCTGGCATTTCACTTTTAACTTGATAGTCTCAAAAATTAAATTAATGATAACATATGAAAGGTGTCACCCTATGATTTATTTAATCATAACACTCGTGTGCATGTAAAATAAGATTACAAAAATATCTATTATATGGAGTGAGGATTATCTACATGTTTTTCTTTATATGAGTTGTTTATAGTCACTCCAATGAGGCAAAAAAATTAGTATCCTCTGTTTTTTTACAGGTGTTTTTGCATGTGATACAATATTCAACTTCAGTAAATTAATCAAGCCGAGAGAATTGTATCTCTCAAAGACACTTTTCAAGCGTCTTTGTCGTGAACATATAAACGTGCAGCCTGTGCAGCTGCCTGTGACAAGAGCTAGTTGCTGGCCTTGGTGTCAGGTCATGGCTCATGGCAGCTGCCCTCCAAACCCGGCCCGGCTGTGCATCCCGGCCAGGGTGGGCCCGGGCCTGCGTCCGAGATCAGTGGGTGCCTTCGTCAGGGACACCACCGTATTCCCCAGGACAGAGGACAAGAATCGGGGTTTACTCTTTGTTCTGTAAGCGTCAGCTTCAAAGAGCTGAGGAGTGCATTGAGCCCTCTGAGGATGTCGTTTCAGACATCACCAGAAGACAGTTTTCTCTAAAAATGACTTTCCAACATTTGTGCTTTTCCTCAGAGAGCCGCCTTCTGAAAACGGAACAAGTGTCTACGGGGCTGGTGGCTTCATGCCTTACGGCTTTGCAGGCACTTTGGCCGGGGCTGCAACCTGCTTCTATGCCTTCGTGGGATTTGACTGCATTGCCACCACTGGTAAGAGCAGAGTCCTGGCTCCGGGCAGGAGGGAGGGGCCCTCTCTGTGCCACACGGGTGCCCGTGGGTGGCAGCAGAGGGCCAGGACCGAAAACGGGATTTGGATTCAGTGCCAGGCCCAGGCATGACACCGGCCGTCTGTGATAAAAAGAAACTGAATGAAACTCACTCGGCCTTGATTTGCATGTTGGTGAAACTGGGAGGGCGGGACCTACCCCTCGGAAGTCATGAGAGTTACCTAAGGTACATGTATACATGTGAAAAATTACTTTGAAAGAACACACACGAAAAATACTCCGCAAGCTGTCAAATACTTTGCAAGTGTTGGTCATAATTACTACCCTCAACCTTCTGTCTGGATGTGCTGTCACAGTGAGTCATAATGATGGCCACGCTCTTAAATGATCTCTTCTTTATTAGGACAATGTATTGTGGTAATCCTCTTTTCTTTCTTTTATGCAAGAAGGAAATCACGCCAGAATCATCTCTAAGTGTCTACTCTGGATTTGTACTTTTTTGCATGGCCTAATGATTAATTTTGGATGCTTCAAATGGCAAATCTTATGAGAAGGATCCAAAGTATACTGTTTTCTTTTGAAACTAGAGTTTAGTGTAAACAAATAAATAGACTGAGTAGTGTTTATCTAAAGCCTTCATACTTAAGGGTGTACAGAAAGAATCCCGTGACAGGCATTTAATCTCTGTGGATGAATTGCTTCCAAAATGGATTAAGAGCACTTTTCTACCACTAAACATTTACTAATCCTGGAAGAGCATGTTTTTTTTCCCCCTTTCTGGAATTGGATTTCTTTTTTTTTTTTTTAAAGATTTTATTTATTTATTTTTAGAGAGGGAAGGGAGGGAGAGAGAGAGAGAGAGAGAGAGAGAGAGAGAAATATCAGTGTGCGGTTGCTGGGGGTTATGGCCTGCAACCCAGGCATGTACCCTGGCTGGGAATCGAACCTGGGACACTTTGGTTCCCAGCCCGCGCTCCATCCACTGAGCTACGCCAGCCAGGGCTTTGGAATTGGATTTCTATGTAAGAGCAAAGTACCCGCAAGAAGAGAGACCATTCCACGCAGAATAGATGGATCAAGCTAAGAAAACAGAAGGGGTGGGAGCAGAGAAGAATTACCTCGGAGGAGATGGCAAATTCACTGATGTTTTATTCTGCATGCAACCTTTTGTGTTTCCTTAGGCGAAGAAGTCCGGAATCCCCAGAAAGCTATTCCCATTGGAATTGTGACTTCATTGCTTGTTTGCTTTATGGCCTATTTTGGGGTCTCAGCAGCTTTAACACTCATGATGCCCTACTACCTCCTGGATGAAAAGAGCCCCCTTCCCGTAGCATTTGAGTATGTTGGCTGGGGTCCTGCCAAGTACGTCGTCGCCGCGGGCTCCCTCTGCGCCCTGTCGGCAAGGTAAGTTGCATTGCCTCTGGGGCTGAGTCTGTTTGGGTTACTGCAAAGTGAGGTCACTGTCTAAAGAATTCCTCTTGTGTATTTTAAAAATAATCCTAATACCAGGAACACATGGTGCAGCTTTGTATTCTCTGCAGCTTTGTTTTCCCAGAATTGCTCTTGATCTTAAATGATAAAGTTCTTTTCCCCCATCAGTCAAGAGTCAGTGTTTCAAGGGAATGAGGGTCCAAGCTGCAGCAGAAATGCATACAACAGTGGGACAGGCATCCCTGTATACACACACACGTCACACGTATTCATACATGTGTGCATTATGCTGGCATGTTTATGTGAGTATGTTTCCCTGCTGGCTCTGGTGTCACTCGTGGTACTTCAGACGACGGAGACCCCAGGTGCAGACTGGACATTTTCTGTTATCGTTTAAAGCCACATCAAGCCCATGCGTGCAGAAACGCTACACTGTGACATGGCTAACTCCAATGAGCTTCCCTTGTGAAACACTGAGACTTGTTCACATAGCACTGATCAGAGTGAATCTGGTCTGGAAACAGAGACTGCCATTCTCAAATGAATGCTGGAAATGTATGTAATATCTATGTGAAAAGGAAGGGGTAGTTAAAGCTCAAGTGTTTGCATTTTCAGTAGCTGCTTGATTTAATCCTTCAGGATTTGTTCCTCGGTTTTCCTGAGCTACTCATATGTTAAATTAGCAAGTGATTGTAAGACATTTCATTCTAGTTTTATACTGTGCTAGACAGTAGAGCATTCTGACAAAGAGAAAAATAACCTCTGATGGCAAATTTTTTAAGTGAAAATAATTTTCTATAAGCCTGATGTTGGAACAGGATATCTTTCTATATAATTCATCAGCCCAGCTTTTTTCCCCCAAAAAATCTACTTCGTCTTCTCTTTAAGATAATGGGAAGTAACAATTAGAAATTCCTTTCATTGGTTTCTTAGCCACCTGCTGATGATAAGGTTTATCCTGAATAGTTTTGAAAATCTGCAATGTGACGACACCCCGTCACCACAGTCTTAGAAGAGATGGATACAGGCTCCTCTGTGGCCAGCCTCAACCCAGGTTTATTAAAAGATAAAGAAGATGGATTTTTTTTTCATAAAATATTTTACTTATTTTCTCTTAAATGGTTATTGTTCATAATGAAGTAACGTATGGAATGGTGCAGCCAGTAAACATACAAGTTTTTCAGAAATGTCTAAAGTTTTCTTAAACTGTTAATCATGGCTGTGTCTATGTAGTAATTTCATAGTGAGTTGATTTTTTTAAGCTTTTTATATCTTGATTATCTTGTGATGCTGGGAATTATTACTAATTTGATCAAAGATCAGGCTATATGAGGAAAAATCATGGTAAATTAAACATTATTAAGTACATAATTAAATACATAATTATTAAATAAATGAAGGACTGTTCTGTGAAATCAGATTACTTAATCTCTTTTTAAATGATAATACATGTCTGTGTAGGAATTTAATTTTCTGAGTTATTGACACTATAAATGTCTTAATGGTATGATTGGTTTGGTTTATTTTTTGTTGTCTTAATTATTTAGATTTAATTCGGTCATAATCACAGGCATGCACGAATCACCTACATTATTGTTTTTGGGCTGATAATTCCCTGCAGCAGAATAATAAGCAGCACAGTGGTGAACTTGTGCCAGTACGTGTAAATGTCCAATCATAACACGTGTTAACAGTGTGTAATCCCAGCTGCGGGGCTGAGGTTCTGACAGTCACTTAATTTCGGTTCCGGGATGTAATTGTGCATGGATGTCTGCCACACTGCATGTGTCTGCTTTTTATCCAGTCTCCTTGGATGCATTTTCCCAATGCCGCGTGTAATCTATGCTATGGCCGAGGATGGGTTGCTTTTCAAATGTCTAGCTCAAATCAATTCCAAAACGAAGACACCGATAATCGCTACTCTATCGTCGGGTGCGGTGGCAGGTGAGAGAAAGTTAACTTCTATAACGAAAAAGGGGGTCTTTTTTTCATCAAGGATTCTGAAAAAAAAAATACGGAAAGCTAGGTGGTTTTCTGTTCCGATCCGTGTGAAGATCATTAACTTGTTCTGTGAATGTTTCCTGTTTTGAACGGTTTTGACATAGGTTGGTTCTGTGCTTGAGTGTGTCCAGTCTGTACCTGTAACTACCTGTGCAGAGTAATACGTGTAATAACTCATGTGGATTATGAATTTTTCTATTCTAGCCTTCTGGGCTCTATGTTTCCTTTACCCCGGATTCTGTTTGCCATGGCCCGGGATGGTTTACTGTTTAGATTTCTTGCCAGAGTGAGTAAGAGGCAGTCCCCAGTCGCTGCCACACTGACTGCCGGGGTCATTTCTGGTAAGCTTTCCAAACGTGGGCTTCTCAGTATTGGACTTGGGCGTTTTATGCGCATGCATGGACTTACAAAGCGGGTCTGCTTGCTGTGCATGTAAGTTAAGAACCAAATTATGAATAAATTGGGATGCAATCGTTGGGGTGACACCTGAAAATCACGGTGGCAGGGGTTTACCGAAGCGCATTCTTAACTGACCCTGGGGGTTTTTTTTGCCATTTTGTTATTTAAACAAAGCCCCCTTCGGGGGCTTCTCACAAATGTGCAATGGGTTGTAATGGCTGCTCCCTATGTGTCAGTTACGACAGTCTTCTCAGATTGATTAACTAGCACATAAAATTATACTGTCAACAAATAAAATTTTAATTCAAGAATGATTACTTAATTTTGGACATATTAATTGAAAATAATGATTGATTATTTTCTTTTTTTTGGTTAAGGATTTAAGATGGATATTGCTAAAGGACCATAGGGTTTTTGAAAAGCTAATGTTTACCCATGCTTAACTAAGCGTAAGAAATGTCAAAGACAATTTGTACTTGGCTGCTGTAGTCACCGCTGTTAGGGTGGTAGATAGCCCCACTTTCTGGGCCGCCAGGCCCCCCAGAGTTACCCACACCTCATGAACCCTGTTAGGAATCTGTTTTCCCTTTCTCCAGTTTTGTTATCTAAAAACTCCAGAAGCTACCTCTTGACATATCATAATATCATTGTCTAATGCCTTTGGCCAGATTTTTTGGCAGAAATTTTCAGATTTTACACATCAAGAGAATGGCCCTGAAGGTCCTGTTACAGGAAGCAGGAGAGAGGTTCTAGCAAGCTTCGCAGATAAAATGATAAACTATAAGAAAAAAACTATCTTGGCGTAGCAGAAATTCAAACTAAAAATGGCAATTTTGTTGAGGTTTTAAATTGTTGGCAAGACAGGTTAGAGAATGCTAGTATTTAATTATGTGTGAAATGGGATTTATTTTTTAGAGTCAGAGGGTATCTAAACAGCTTCACTTTGTAAATATTTTCTAATAAATGTGGCACTTCATTAGGCGTACATTGGAAGGTCAGGTCACTCTGTCGATGCTTAGATATCTGCCCCCATAAATGAAAGCTGTACTAGATCATCTAAAGCCCATTGTAGTATTACACAGTGCCTTGGGATATTATCGTTTAAAATCATGACAAAAGACCACTCATTTTATTAACTTCATAAACATTTTTATTTTTCCTAGCAAAGCATTGCCTGGTAATATTTAGAATTTTATATATTATAGCTCTATATATTCAGAATTTTTTTAAATGTCCTTTTTTCAGGAAGAATTTAATTTGGGAGCCCAATAAGATATTAAAATTAATACTTAACAAAAGATAATTCTAACAGAAGGCTTTTTTTTAATGCTCTAAAAATATTTGTTGTTGTTTTGTGTTCCCATACCTTACTTTGCTTGTTTTAACTACATCAGTTTGCTTGTGGGGATAATTAATCATGTCCTTCTGTCTTGGCTACCTCATTTGGGCTAGCTGTGATTCTTACAAAACGTGCGGAAATGTTAACGACCTAGTGTATAAGTATTCCAGGGATGGAGAGTTTTCAAAGCAAGGCCTGAGCTGCACTTAAAGAAACAATGTGTGATTGCAGGAGGTGCCCAGGGATGTATATGGGATGGAACCTTGCTTCTGGCTCCTAGTTTTAATCTGCCTATAAAACAGGGATAATAATCCTTTTATTATAAGGATTATAACCTTAAAAAGCACATAAAGTTGCTGGGGTTTTGGTAAAAAACAAACAGTCAAATACTGGCCATTTTGTGTAGCTGAACCTAAATAATTTTTCCTGTCTCTCAGGCTTATTAAATTGAACAAAAAGGAGACAGAAAGCTTGCAGAGAGTTCTAGGACACTATGTGAATGGAATGTAGTATCTGCTTACTGAGTTGGGGAGAGCTATGTGGTAAATTCAAGTTCATATTAGCACGATTTTGATGTTTCAGTGGAGACAAACATTGCTGCCTGCCAGTTAACTATTCTGCTGCGTGAAGCATATTTTGCCTGTTAACATCCTGGGATTTGGGTGAGGACCATAGAGAGAGCGCTCAAATCTAGTCAGTCCGACCCGAGTGAGTGGTTTTAATCAGAGCAGAATTTAGCCTGTACAATTTTATATTGTATATACCTCAAAATACAAATGGAAATCAATATGATTAAATATCACCCTATTGAAGGCTCTTTTATTTGAAGTTTTTTATGATCTTGAAAAAGGACCTCGGCAATGTTTCTTAGCACTGCTTTTCTCCTGAAACATCAGAAGGGAGGAGTGATATTTTCAATTTTTGCCAAGCTAATATTTTTTAAATAATCAAAATAGATAGTTTTTAATAATCAAAGCAATAGTTACCAATCTGATCACTGAGGGGGTTTGAGGTTTTGTTAGCAGTTTGTATGATCTAAAGAACATCGTATTAGTTGTGAGAAATACAGTTTTCTATAGTTGAACTGAAACAAAACAGAAACAAACAGAAAGTCAGTCAGTGGTCCCTGGCTAGAACGTTGTCAGCCGTAGGAACTTGACCACAGGCCGTTCTCTTCACCGTCTTTTTGTTTCCCCACAGCCGTGATGGCGTTTCTCTTTGACCTGAAGGCCCTGGTGGACATGATGTCCATCGGCACGCTGCTGGCCTACTCACTGGTGGCCGCCTGCGTTCTCATCCTCAGGTGCGTTGTCTCGGGGAGAGATGGCTCTGCAGGGCGTGGGTCCGGCTGCAGCCCGGGAGGTGGAGCCAGGGCCGCCGTCCCTGCTCTCTGGGAGTGAGCAGTCTCGGAGCCGAGGGGTCACGGGCATAGAAACAATAGACACAACCGTAGAAAGTATAGATCCGTACCTGGTCCTTAGCAAAGAATCCAACACAATTGATAATGAGCAAGAGGCTGGCCCAATTCTCTGGGAAGGGCAGGTTCTCGTAATATGTAAAGACACTTGAAAATACTATACTTTCTGCCCCAAGAATTCAACGGCTAAGATTTTATACTAAAGATGTAGTCATTGAGGCACACCCAGATATAAGTAAAGGACAGTCACGGAGAAGGTTATTGACATTAGTGAAAATTTGAACTAACCTGAATAGCAATGAGAATGGTTAAATCAATGATGGTACATTTATTTAGTGGGCTGTTCTACAACAAATAAAATGAGACTTAATTATTTGGAGAAATGTATCCGTTTTAGGATGTAAAGGTCTATGGAGCATCTGAATTTATTTAAATAAATTTACATAAAGAAATCACGTTTGCTTATAGATAAACATATATGCATTTATGCCTGGCTGATATTGTGCCAAAATACTAGCAGTGATTAACACTGGGCAGTGGTTTTAATTTTCTTCTGTGTACTTTTGGGTATTTTTCTCCCAGTGAACATATTTCTTCTTTAAGATGGAGGACAGATGGTACTTTTAATTTTTTCAATTATAACTTACATTCAGTATTATTTTGTATTAGTTTCAGATGTACAGTGTAGTGATTAGATAATCATACACTTTACAAAGTGTTCCCCCTGATATTTCCAGTACCCAACTGACACACCACACACAGTCATTATAATACTATTGACTGTATTTCCTGTGCTGTACTTTCTAACCCCATGACTGTTTTGTAACCACCACTCTGTGCTTCCCAATCCCTTCACCTTGTCCTCCAGACCCCTAGGCCCCCTCCCCTCTGGCAGCCACCAGACTGCTCCTCGTACCCATGAGTCTGTCTCTGTTTTGTTCTTCTGTTTATGTTGTTCTTTAGATTTCACACAGAGAGAACCCTCAGGGTTCCACTGAAAGTCTACTAGACCTGACAAATAAATCCAGTAGAGTAGCAGGACACAGAATAAATACTCAGAAACCAGTTGCATTTTTATACACCAATAATGAACTATGAGAAAGGGAAATGAAGAAAACAATCCCACTCACCATGGCATCAAAAAAATAAAATACCTAGGAATAAATTTAACCACGTAGGTAGAAGACCTGCACTCAGACAATCATAAGACACTGAAGAAGGAAATCAAAGAAGATACGAGTAAATGGGAGGATGTAGTGTATTCATGGAGAGGAAGAATTAACATCCTTGTAGATCTGAGCAAAGGCTGTGCAGAGGGAGGCGGCCGCACTGGGGAGCGGGGGGCAGATGCCGGGCCGGGAGGCAGGCTGACGTGCCGACACAGGCTGGTGGCGGGGGAGGAATAAAGGAGAATGGCATGTGCGGGGCTGGGAGGCGGCTGGATGGCTGGGTGAGCTGGTCGGGCTGAAACCAGAGGACTCGGGTAGGCAAGTTCAAGGAGATGAGACCAGACCGGTAGGTTGTGATGAGGCCTTTGAATACCAAACTGAAGAGTCTGTTATTTTGCCACTGATGCTTAACCAGAGTTTCTGGGCTGTCTTCAGGAACATTCCCTTGGGACATAAGTATGTTTAGAATGATCATCCTGTTATCACAGGTGCCTCACTTTTTTAAAATGTGACTGTCTGCGTGGCATATACAACGTTTCTAATGAAACGGCCACCAGAGGGAGCTCAGAGTTGCCGCAGACGTCCTGCGGAGCAGGGTGGTGGCCGGACTCACAGCTCTGGGGCTGGACCCACGAGGAGTGTCGGCTTACTGCCGGAGCTGTGACACTATCTATGAGATGTCTCACCAAGAGTTTCAGGAGCTCTTCGCATTGGGGCCGAGTGTCTCTTTGAGAATCAAGACACCAACCTTTATTTGGGGACAGGTACCAGCCTGGCTTATCGTACGAGCAGCCCAAATACGCTCCCGAGAAAGAAGCTCTGGAACCGTGTGCCGCTGCGGAGTCAGAAAGCGCGTCCCAGGTCACCATGCTGCAGGGACAGGGGTTCAGCCTGTCCGCCCTCTTCAGCCCCTCGGCTCTGCCCACACAGCAGTCTGGTTCTCTCGTGAGCTTCCTGGTGGTGTTCCTCGGTAAGTCCTCCTCCCTGCGGCGTTACAAAGCCCTGGCAGGCGTGTGTGTGGGTGGAGCCGGGGGATGTGAGATGGGACGAAAGGCCTCCCGTCTCCCTGGAGTAGGTTAGCAATTCCCTGGGGCCCTGAAGTGTCCACTTAGCAGGCCATTGGACATTTATATTAGCAGCATAAATGTATCATATTTTGGTGCATGAAGAAGACAGGAAGAAATTCATAAGGTGAGAGTGTCTGGAGTAGATAGTTGGTACATTTCATTAGCCGTTAGGGAGCTCCCTGTGTAAAAGCATCCAGCCAATTACAGCCACCCGTCACGGAACTGGGACCCCAGGAGGCTGGGAGGCAACATAGACAATGCTGTCTGCTTAGCCACAGTTACGTAATCTCACATTCTCAGAGACATTTATTGAACATCATCTGTGTGCCAGGAAGTCTGCTGGCACTTTGAATAACGAGAGCTGGCCCTTGCACTCCCTGGGCTTTATGACACAGGATGACTGGTGGTAAGCTAGGGGAAGTGCACATTTCTCTGAGAGCACCATGGTGGGGCCCCTAACGCAGACCTGGTGGTCAGAGGTAGGGTCGGTGGGTGGCCATGTCCCTCTGAGAAACAGGGAGAAAAGATGCAGGTCATTTTATTTGTTTACAATGGCTGAACCTGGACAGCCTTGCCATTCCCCGTTTGAATAGGGGGATGCCGACCCCTGACAGTGGCCCACCAGTCCATGTGCTATATATAGTCTGAGACAGTCACCAGGTGGCACATGGGCAGGGAAAGCAGGAGGGTCGTGCCCGAGGGGGAGGTTGACTTCCTAAGAGGAGCCGGTGGTGAGTAAGCAAGCAGCGTTCCCTAAGTCAGTGAAATCGGCCACTTCTGCCCACCCTGAACATGGAGAGTCTGAGTGTCTGGCAAAGTAGATATGAAAGGACTTGGTGTCTTATCACAACCCACTGTGGGGACGGAGGCACCCGAGCAAAGAAGCGTGGGTGCTGACTTCCCGTCACGGGCGTGTCTCCTCCGCAGCCTGTCTCGTGTTGGGCCTGAGCGTGCTGACCACCTACGGAGTCCAGGCCATCGCCGCGCTGGAGGCCTGGAGCCTCGCTCTCCTGGTGCTGTTCGTGCTGCTCTTCGTCGCCGTGGTCCTCGCCATCTGGAGGCAGCCCCAGAATCAGCACAGAGTCGCCTTCATGGTTCGTGTCGTGAGGGTCAGAGACGCCAAACATGGGGCACGGGTTCCCTCGGACGTCAGTTTTTATGGGTTTTTTAAAGCGTTTCTGAAGTTAACCAATGGACAAGAGTGTCACATTTCCTTGAGACGCTCCTTCCTGTCGCAAGTTCTCTGTTGGCGTCGGCCATGTGACTGCCCTTTTCAAAAACTTGAGGATGCCCCTATCGCAGTGTTATATGTAATAGCACACACAGGTCTTGTCAAAGAAGGTCCTGTAGAGGAGCGAAGGCACCGCTGGAATATTTTATTTTAGAAAGTCAGGACCCTCTCAGGAAGGTTACTCCCCACAAAAGCCCTTCCACTGCACAGGAAATTGACCTGTCACATTGGAACTCAGAGCAGGTTTCAGGTGGGGGAGAACTTTCTGGAAGCATCCCCAGAGATGCTGTAGGTATCCGGAGTCACAGAGGCATGGCGGGTGGATGCCCAAACTGCACCTGTGAACCTGGACTAAACGAACCCTTAAAGCCAATTGCTTCTTGGCGATGATGCAGGTGTTTGTGGTCTGCATACAGCCCCTGTTGCTTTGGGCCACAGTAAACAGTGCAAAATGTCGTGCTCGCCTTAGTATTCTTTGGAAGAGGGGCTTTTGTTCAGGTTGTCCTTTGCGTAAGACTCTAAACTTAGAGATACAGAATGAAAATGTATAGGACGTCAAGTTAATTATCCCCATGTCGAATAAGTTGGGGAATGTGCTTTCAAATTCTGAGTATGTTTAAGAAGATACTTTTCCCCGTAGGTCCCATTCTTACCATTCCTGCCAGCGTTCAGCATCCTGGTGAACATCTACCTGATGGTCCAGCTGAGTGCGGTGGCTTGGATCCGGTTCAGCATTTGGATGGCGCTCGGTGGGCCTTTCAGTATTTCCCCTGTCTCAGCTTTGGCTCTCTCTGATTTCATGCACTGTGGTGGAAGAAATGCGTCCCTTCCCCTTCGCAGAAATAAAGGGTTTTTTTTTTCTCCCCACATCCTCCTTTTCCAAGTGTGAGAACATCTGCGTGCTTACTTTGCCACATGTTTTTGGATGCCTTTTTAAAATTCAAATCTCCCAGTAACTCTGTGGAGCCATGTAGGTTCAATGTTCTCCAGCTTGTTGGACGAGAAAATGAAGCCCCAGAACATCGGAGGATCTCACTGGCAAACGGCCGCCAAGTCTCTGATCCCAAAGCTCTTTCTTCCTAGGGTGCCCGTGGGTGTTTGGATGAGCTAATAGCAAAACAAAAATACCCCCTCTTTTCTAACACTAAGTTCGTTATTATTATTAGAACCTCGGAGAGGATTTAACATTCACAGGAGTAAGCTTATGTATTTCTAAACCGCCTTGTTCCTCACTTTGGCTTCTCCAGTGTGCTCTGTGTAACTGAGATAGTTAAAAGTTTGAGCATGTTGTAACTCAAGCACTGAGCACCAAGTGCCTTACAAATGTGAGGCGAAACAGTGAGAAATAAGAGTTGAACCTGCATTGGTCTTGGAGGCCTGAGGAGTTTGGGTTTATGCTTTTTGAACAGTCCTTCCATTGGCTCGGTAAGAGCAAATGTAATTCACGTTTGTGTATGTATGTACGTGTTTGGCTATCAATTTCAGTAATGTATATTTAATTTTAAGCCACAAACCCAGTTGAGTTGATAGGAAAATGAACCTCAGTCAGTTTTACCCTTCCCCTCACACCCACAATGGCATTTGGCCTATATTTGGGGAATCTTACACAGTGCCAAGGAATTGGGGGGGGGCGACGCCTTGGGTCAAAGGTCATCCATCCACATAGGTTACACTGGGCTGTTCTCTCTTTCTGTCCAGATGGCTCTGTCTGGTGCTTTAGGGGAAGGATCCTATCAGGAATGACCAGCCAGTGGGCTATGCCCTCAGGGGTCCTTAGGGTCCTGCCACCCCCCCCCAGGTGCTGCCAAGAAGCTGAGGCCACATCCCCAAGGCCCAGGACTGGAAAGCTCACTCCCCCGCTCGAAGCCCAGAAGCCTCTCTTTCTAATCAGGTGGAGACTTCTCCACATGTCCTGCCTTTCCAAAAACCACTGCTTCTTTCCTGCAATCGTAGCTCCCTGTGGCTTAACACTGTACTTTGTCTTGGATCAAAGCAACAATTACGGAGCCAGATTCTCTGTATCTGAATCCAGCTCCGCCACTGATTAGCTGGATGACCTAGAACGAGTTACCTCCCTGGCTTTGAGCCTCCGGTTCCTTGTAACAGGGCGACGGTAGTACCTTTATTTGAGAGCAGGGAGGGCTGGGTCTTCAAGCCTCTGAGACCAGAGAGGAACCAGAATCATTCCTGATGAGCAGACATGCGGAAATGCTCATTGGAAGCCTGCTTCCCATTATCTTTAAAGGGGAAAACTAAAATGCATCTTACACAACTCTCAACCAGTCTTTAGAAATAACTAAAACCCAGCAAAATGCCCCTATATAAATTAGCAATAAACTATTTTTGTGAGGACACTTAAAACCTTTCTTCCTAATCCCCATCAGCACGGCTGTCAGCAAACGGTTGCTTTGAACCCAGTGACCCAGCCTGTCCTGGGGACAGTAACCCATGCACGGGACGCCCGCGTCCCCTTTGTGTGCACAGGGTGCGTGTCCCAGACTAGCTGATGGCGACCCTAATAATTCACCCCTTGTGTTTGGGGTGTAATGTGAGACTTTGCCCCATATTGCCTTTTGTTTAAAGTGTAGCATCGAGTTTTGAGAAAATAAATACTTTTTTTCCTACATAAACACCTGAAAAGCACTTACTGAGAGAACCCTACATTCTGTGAAGATTGGGTGTTAAACATGGAGATGTGCATTCTCCCCGGAAAACGTTGAACAAGGCCCTTCCGTGGGGGGCCTTGGGGGGCGCCGCACTTGCACCGAGTGCTTCCGAGGTAGCGCAGAGAGAGACGGCAGAGAGCCCTCTGCCTTTGTACTAAGTTCTCATGCCCCAGCAGTGATCTTCTGACCCCCCTAACACGCTGCCCTTCTCTTCGCTGACAGGTTTCCTGATTTACTTCACTTACGGCATCAGACACAGCCTGGAGAGCAATTCAAGGGACGAAGAAGATGATGAAGACTCGTATTCAGACACCGTGAATGCAGCAACGGGAGAGAAATCCGCCTTCCCGGCACATGACCACCACCAAAGAAACCTCAGTTTACCTTTCGTGCTCAGCGAGAAGACGAGCGAGTGCTAACGCTCGCTGGAGCGGAGTCCGCAGTCTTAACGTGCACATCCCCCACTGAGTAACCCGGACAGGGCAGCAGCGCCGTGCTGGCTTGTCACGGGCTTGCTACAGACCTGGTTCCCCCTAATTTATACTCACCTGGACAGCACCTCCTCAGGTAATGAATCACGTACCTGGGGAAACCTGAGCTCTCTCCTAGTGCTGAGTATCTCCCAAATAATGTGTGTGTGTGTGTGTGTGTGAATACAAGTGTTAAAAGTTGTCTGTATTTTGCTATTATTGCATTACATGTTTCCAGTGTTCGTCTTGAACTGGTGTCGTATACTGCACATGCTGAAATGCAGGTTATCACCACGTAGACAAGTGTTTTGTGTGTGCTTGGTATTGCTAGGGAAGTAACTTGCTCCTCATTAGATTCCATTAATGTCCACTTAGAGCATGCTACACATGCAGTTACTCACCTGGGTGTCTGTCACTGGTCAGGAGTAACAGGAGGGGATAAGAAATGAGCCTTTTTCTATAACTTATAAAGCCAACAGTGGGTTTAGTACAGAATTTTCTTCTGCAAGGTGTGGCATTTACTAAAACTTGAGCCAGTAGGAGTGTTTGCAGTGGCCTTGCTACGCACGGAGGCGTGACCTTCTGTGTCACCAGGGGGCGCCCCTTGGAACTGCTGTCTTCTCTGAGCGCAGTGGTCCTTCGATCTGAGGCCTTCCCCTGCTGTGAGGGACATGCCCCCTTCCCCCACTCAGGGGCTGAGGCAGGGAGTGTGATGTCCTCAAAACCCTTGATGAGAGAATGTGGTCCCCATGCCAGCATAAGTAGCAATGGTGAGGATGTGTCGGAAAGTCAGAGTTAGACACATGCTTGGAAAAGTAGCTACCAAGCATCCTTGTTTTGAAAGTCACTTAAAAGCAGCCAGTGGAGTCTCCACATCGTGCAGCTGGTGGAGTGATTCATACTTTTTCCATTACTTACTAACCAATCACAGTTCAGGGTCTTTAACCTTGTCAGACAAAGAATTCACTCTTCTATCTCCATTCTCATTTTGTCTTGTCCAAGATACGAAGGGTTACAGTTGCAAATTCTACCTTTACAATGTGCAAAAGCAGAATAAATGAAGGGATATCAGAAGGGAAAATTTCCTTGTTCTAATTTTCAAGTGCCTATTCAGATATTAAAGGGCATTTGGCTCAGTTCATGGGGTTTAGATCTACTTTGACTGTTTCTTTCACAAACATTTAGGGATGTTTTTCATCCCTCATTCCATAATAGTTTAGCACTTATAATCTCATTTATTTTTAAATGGCCACACTAAAGCTATTCATATGAGCTCCAATATAATAACCCAACAGTGGCTGGGGAATAAAATACTGTGGTTAAATACATGATTATATAAAACTCTAAGCTAAAGAATTAACCAAATGAAAGCTGTAGAAACACAGTAACCTTTATACAACTAAATAATTTGTAGATGTAGGATTCTACTAATTACTGTGTGTTAACTTGGTAGGGTTCCCTAAGAGTGGACTATTTATCTGCAGTGTGGTTTGCTTCTCAAGAATTATCTATTTGTTACAAACCCTTAAATGGTCCACTAGATGAAGCTGGAGGCTCAGCACTTAGGTGTGCACGGGTTACATTCCCAGGACAAGTTTTGCCAAGCACACCGGTTGACCAGCTGAATCCCAGAACAAGGAAAACATTTGTCAGCTCTTCCAAGAGATCTGTTATTTCATTGCTGCATTAAGAAGCAAGTTGCAACTGAATGGTCTAACCGCGAGTTTATAGTGACTCAACATCAAACAGACAGGTAGAAAGCCTGGCTCCCTGGCTGCTAGAGCCTTAGCAGAACTGACATTCCACAGGCTCTGGGGTGGGGTGGGGGGGACATGGTAACGTTGGAGGCCCAGCACTCTCGCCCAAGCTGCTTGTCTCCCCGGAGACGAAGAGTTAAGCAGGCAGGGAGTGGAGGACATGAGTAAGGGCTGCAATGCTCAGGCGTGCTCCTGAGCCCTGGCTGTCAGAGCTGGGCCCCATGGCCTGCGTTTATTCCATTGTCAGTCTAGAATAGGCCCTTCACTGGGAAACAAGGGGAATTTCGTACACGCATACTTAACTCTCTTATCGTAACAAAATCAAGAAGCTCGTTTAGAATGTGACAGGCAGCTAAAATTCCTATGCCCACTGTGTTCAGTTAGGAGCAGAGTTTAGTTGAAAAGGTATTTTTTCCACGTTGAAACACTTTGCAAACACAGATCTATGAAAAGACACTTTGTCAGTGACCGCTTTTTCTCTGTGAAGACTCAAATGTCCGTCTATGTGAGTGTGTATATATTATATATACGTGTATGTCGGTGTATTTCAACTGTCAGTGTAAAAGTCGGTTGGGTGTAAGAGGAGCTTTGGAAATAATACCATTGTGTGGATTAAAAAAAAAACAACCCAGCTGATGTAGAAATAATACAGTGTTTTGTATTGAAAGGTACGCTTATATAAAATTTTTAGGTTTTAACGTATTTTGAAATACATAGTAATTTTATATATATGATATTTTCTATAGATAGATTCTTCAAGAAAGCTGTATTTATAATGTTTCTAATATGAAATCACTAAACTCTAGTACATTGTAACAGGTGCTTTCTGGTCTGAAGAGGGGGTGGGGACATTCGGGGTCCTGTTGACTTGTCTCTGTGCCACGTGCTCAGCATCTCTGTCTCAGCCTCTCCGGAAAAAGCCGGTACTGCCGCTTGGGTACCCCTTCCCTGTTCCCACACTGGAATTCTTAACCTTTGGAACAAAATGCTGTTTTTACTTTCTTAGGCATACCAAAATAGTTTTTTTTAATTAATGACACATATGTAAAGTTCTCTCCAGAAATTAAAAAATACATAAACATATTCTCCTCGTTGTGGTTGTATAACAACAGCTTAAATTACTTTTTTGTACTAGAAAATATGGTTTTATAACATTTTCAGTGAGAAGCTTCTTATAATGGCACTTTTATTTGATGCTCTTTTAAAAGAGAAGATGGTTTGTGAATAACTATATAAAAGCTATCCTACCTTACATTTAGCAAGGTACTGTGCAAATTCAAGTTTAAAAATTATTTATGAGAAAACTTATATTTGAGCTTATAGATTATTACATATTCACATTTTCCAAAACATAGATATCAGGAAAATTAAGACTAAAACTTCATCTGGGATATATACATTAAAGCAAAACTCATGTTGATATATATATAATACTTTACTATTATCAACCATAGTTGATGAAAAATATTTGTTTCAGAATTATTTTCCCTTGAAAGATAAGAGCCTCTCTCAATTTTCCTGAATAAAGGTTTTTAGAATTTTTTTCATGAGAACTTTTTGAATTTTATATTCTGTCCACTTAAAAAATCTACTTGAACCATTTACTATATCTTCAAAGAAAATTAACGACAGATTCCTCAAGTTCAGTTTTTACATTTTAAATATTAGCCAAAATATTTTTGCAGTTAATTATTACAGTATTTTGAATTGGAGTCTATATTTACCAAATTATTTTCTAAACTCACTTGAACGCCTAGCCAGGAGAATAAGGGAAAGCAGTCACCCCCGCCCCCCACCCCCCTGCACCTCCCCAGTGCCACAGGGAGCAGGTCAGCCTTAGCTCCTGCCCTCTTCGATCGATCAATCGGTTGATCAATCGATTGGGCCTGTCCCAACATCACATCCCCAGCACGTGGTTGAGCCCAGATTCCAACCCCCTCCCACCCCTGCGATGTCACTCACGATGTTCCCTGCCTGATTTCTGCTAGTGGGCTTCCTGTGAGCACCCAAAATACAATTTCCACTGAATTTTAAGGGATTAGATCGTACATCATGGGATATTAAAATCCACACGATTAGTGTGAATTTGGGGCGGGAGGGATTAACTGTTTAACTTTACTAGTACTAGTGCCAAAGCAAAAAGTGCCTTCTCGGTCTATGTTCTACTTAAGGCTCTCTCAAATATCGCTAACACGTCCTAACATGTCAAGAGAAAAAGTGCCGAAGTTCACGTAGTGCCAAACACCAGCCCGGGTCGTTTTTCAATGTAGATTGGAAAGTAAGGCTTTTGTTCCGCTGTCTATTCTTCCCTCCTTGTGTAATTATGTTTAAACACATTTTGATGGCTTTCTGTTTTCTGGGTTTTGAGAGGCCGTCGCTGTTACTGTTGTGGTTGTTGGTTTGGTTGTTGGTTTTTGTAACATTCATTATTGTTTGTTTGTACACAGTTTAGTCGAACTGATTTCAAAGGCATTTTGTTATGGCTCAACCCAGCTGGCAACCCTATTTGCTGGGAGCACTACACTTAGCTTTTTTATTCACTACGGCCAAAGCCACTGCCACAATCTCTGGCCTCCAGAAGCGTTCGCTGACCACTGGGGCCCCGTGGGGGTCATCAACCAGGACCCTGTGCTGGCTCCAGGGTCGGCAGCCTGCAAAGGGCGAGCATCCGTAGCTACCCCTGTTGGGTGGGGTCTTAGGGTGTCAGGGGAGGATATGAAGTAAAAGCCCTCACATACAATAAGGTAGTTTGGGGTCATTAATGTCAGTTCCAAATGTCCCATGAGTCCACCAAGAATGATCAGGACAAAGGAAGCTCTGGGTCTCCTGGAAGGGATGGCTGCCTCCTGGAACCGGCACCAAGGAGCCTGGCTTCCCAGCCGTCCCTGTCACCCCACTGACAGCCTTGGCGGGGAAGGAACCTCACATCACCACCGGTAGGGCCCTGTCCCCAGCCCAAGCCTGGTTGACAGGCTCTTCACCTTTTGTGTCCACTAGGGGCGCTAAGTTGTCTGACTGCTTTATTTTGTTACTGTACTCAATAGGAACTGTCCACAGAGCCCAAAACCCTACGGGGATTCTGCTTGTAAAAACCAACAGAGACATTGGACTTGTGCGAATGTAAAGATTTTTTTGTGTAGTAGGTAATTTTACATTTAAATGTTTTTAATGATAATCAATGTTCCTTTTTACTTATAAAGTTGGATTATTTTTTAGGATTTGTAATAAATAAAAACTATTGCTGCTTTACCACTGTAAAATAGGCTTTCTAATGTGACCATGTATTTTTTAAATAAATTTTAATACAACTTGTAAAATAATGTCGTGTGCCTGTGTATCACGCGTGCCGAAGTATACATTTTGCACAAACCTCATTTAAACTGCTTCTTTCATTTGGGAAACTTGAAAGCTCAGAAACATAGCACAACCTAAGTTGAAAAAATGTTATGGTTAAGGATACTCAGCTGGTTAGCCTGTGACTAACCAAGTCCGAGAAGGTAAAAGACATGCGTCACATGTCCTCGACCCTCAGGACACAGTCCACAAAACGTGGAAGCACGCCACCCCAGGGCCACGCACGTCCGAGGTCCCGCCACTTTGACCGCCATTGAATGGACTGATCTCTTTGGTCTGTAATCGCTTCTGTCCGTGAGAAGCTCCCCAGTGTGTTCCTGACCAAATCATAGCCTGTGATGACGGGTGATCAGTTGTGTGTGACTAAGAAACGGTTTTACCATACAGTGAATAAATACCTACCCCCTTCACTCTTTCCCCTCTGGGGAGGAGGAGTCAAAGTGTTCTCTGACGTGGCTCACGTTATTTAAAATTGCAACCCCCTTGAAGGAGCATGTTTGATTTTGGAATGTCTTTATGTACATATATACACTGAATTCCTATCGATCCTAGTGAATTGGAGGGAACACCGGGTTGAATTTTAAAACTTTAATATCAAGGAAGCCAGCAATGAAAACCAAGCTGAAACAGCGAAGTATTTCCCAAGTAGCAGCCTAAAACCTCATCTGTCTAATTGTTGATTAGGACTGCTACTAGTTTTCCATGGCCCACCTCTGCTCTGGTGCCGTGTGATCGTATGAAAAAAAGTGATGTCCCAGGAGCTGTGTCGGGCTGTGGGTCTAACCAGGAACCCCTGGAGATGGGACACCTTCGTGTCCTTTACACATGGCCACAGAGAGGCTTCCTTCCCAGGCTAAGGCCCACAGAGGTCTGACTGTGCTGGCAGGTCTCCATCCATCTGTGTGGACGGAGTGATTCATGCCATTCATCCCATAAAAACATCTCCAAAAATTCTCATAGGCATACAAACTCACCCATGATCACATTATCTCAAAGTAGGGTCAAAGTATGGGGCAAACTACCTCAAAGTAAACACAGCTTATAGCTGATTTACTTACTTGAACCAGTTTAGTAACAGATTCAGAGCCAACTCTTAAATACTTTTAGAGACCGGAGATGTCAGATGTCGTAAATCCTGGTGAAGGGGCCCCCGTGACTCTCTGCTCAGACCGGAGCAGCCAACGTGAAGAGGAAAACACGAGACCGGCTGCACTACCCAGGAATGTGACACAGCTCGGGGCGCGCTCACAGTCCCACCACAGGGGCTCTGTGTCTTGGATCCACACCTACTGCCGCACTCTCGTGGTGCAGGTTCTGGAGTTTCCCAATGTCTGAGCCATCGGGTCTCCATTATCTTTCCCATCGGCTCATGGGTGCCAGAGGTTTCTCCACGCAAAGGCCAAGGGTCTCATCACCTTGGTAGAAATCAGACCCACAGTCCAGTGTTTTGGAGCTGAAACATTGACTTAAGTTGGCATCATGTTGTCAATGACTAACAGAAGATGCTTTTCAAAAAGGGAGCGTTGAGAGCCCATAAGCAGGAAAAGCAAATGGGCACGGATGTTGGAAGTGGGAAGGAGGGACACTGTTAAGAAAAAGCAAAGGAAGGAGAGGATGTTGGTTTTAAGTCATTTACACGTTAGCTAAGAGTTGCCCCTCTGTCCGAAGCCTCAGAGGCTCTTCTAACTGACAGACAGGTGACACACCTTTACAGTATGCTGCCTCCTGGTGCTGGGAGGGTCATCTCTTTCGCCCCCGCTGTTTGAAGGAGAGCAAGGTTCTGAGGTCCCTGCCCTGCCCTGCCCTGCCCTGTGGTGTCCCCTGATGACCGGGCCTGGGAGCACCAGAAATGCCCGGCGTCTCTGTCAGAATGAGAGTGTTTAAAACAGCTGCAATTAGCACTGGCTACAACCTTGAACCATTAATTTAAAAAATATTGCTTGTATTTCCGCAGTTAACTAAGAGAGGTTGGAAAGGCGTGTTGGGGGTGGTAGGGAGGCGATGTCCCAAATATAGGGGGTTTCTTTTTTCTTTTCCTTTTTCGGCTTACCTAACAAATTCCTGATGTCATTCGCCACTTTGAATGGGGATAAAAAGGTAAAAGGAGCCGAAGAATAGGACGATTTTTCAAGACAGAGTAGTTTTCACAACCATTCGTTAAAAGGTTTAGTGGAAGTGCTGCACGTGAAATAATTCACAAATGAGGAGACCGTGGCGGAAGCACTGGGAGCCGTCAGGGCTGCTGCTGCTGCTGCTGCTGCTGCTGCTGACTGTTCACCAGAGACTCACTGTGTAGCAACTCGCGCTTCTGAAGAACAGCGAAGGAATTAGGCTTTTTATAGACCTACATCGGCAGGGGCATGTGCTTGCACCCCAAGGTCATGCTCACTTCTCTCTCACTTCTGTTTCCTGACTTCTGTTCCTTCCCTCCGCCACGCTCTTCTCCAGCTCAGTGTTGGCTAAGGCGCCGCCCAGGGCTGCTGGCTGTGCTCTTCAGAGGAAGGTGGCGATGCACAGTCACTCAGATGATGCCGTGCCTTCCCGAGGATGACAGTGGTTCCCTGGACACTGCATTTAAAGGCTCTTTCTGGTTTTTTTCAGCCTCCTCCCTTTCTGTATCAGGAAAGAGCCGTTGATTCAGGGAAGCTTGGACCCTTGGCCAGTGCCATCCCCGAGACACTCTGAGCTCCTCGAGGTCCGAGGTCAGTGGATCACACACCCTAAATGCTGGTCAATGCAGGAATGGGTGGAGGGAGCGGACGGGCAACTGTTAATGAAGAAAACACAGGTTTTGCAGGTAATATAATCATTTATCTAAAACCTCAAGACATCATCTGAAAACTGCACGGACAACAGGATGGGGGTCACCAGAGGGAAGGAGGTGCAGGGTAGCAGAGCATCAAGGGGCCAATTCCGTGGTGAGAGAAGATTTGGTCTGGGGTGGCAAACACACAATGCAGTACACAGGCAATGGATCATAGAATTGTATGCTTGAAACCTGTATAATTTTATGTATCAGTGTCACCCCAATAAATTTAATACAGAAGACACAAACACACAAACATTAATCATGCCTTAGGAATCCAGGCTTCAAGTCGTATTCGACTTTGACCTGTAAGACAAGGCGTATTTTAATTGGCCAATATTATAGCCATGGTTGGAGAAAGAATGGAATAGATCAACATAAACAGAGATTCTAATAATTAAATTCTTTCTTACCCTAGAGACAAAGCAAATGGGGTTTCACAGTGAAATAGAACCTACAAAAAATACGAGTTGGCAGTGTTGTTTTTCAAACTCAGAGACATCACGAATCTAGGCTGTTTCATGCCTTGGGAAGCCCCTGCGTTTCTTGTGACCCTTGCTCCCATCCTGGCCGACTGGGGTCATCCTGCCGGGCTGCCGCAGTGACAGCCTTCGGGCAGCGAGGCCTGAACAACGGAACTGTGTTCTCACGGTTCTGGAAGCTGGAAGCCCAAGATGCAGTTGTCAGCAGGGTTCTGTCTTTTGTGGCTTATGTCCTTGCCTCCTAAGTGGTCAATTTCTCCCTGAATCTTCACAAGAGCTTCCCAGTGGGCCTGTGTCCGTGTCCAAATGTCCTCTTCTAACTTCCAGGGACACCAGTCAGATTGGATTAGGGCTCTCTCTCATAATCTCGTTTTAACTTAATCACCTCTTTAAAGACCCTAGTTCCCAATGTGGTCACATCCCGGAGGTCTGGACTTCATCATTTAAATTGGGGCCGGGGGGCAATTTAGCCTGTAACACAGACCTAGGATAGTTTAGATACCTAAATGCAGCTAAAGTGTACATGATATAGAAGAGGCTTGGGAGGTAAAATTCCGAAATTATTTTCTATATATCACTGACCCAATGTGAAAGTGTAATGGGGGAAATGTCATTCATAGCAAAACAAATAAATAATCTGGCAAAAATAAGAAATAAGCCTAACAAGTAACAAGGAAGACATACATGGGGAAAATATGTAACTACACAGAACTATACACACACACAACATCCATATTCACATAGCCTACATTTAGCCAACGGGTATTTGACATAAAAGAGGCTTGGAAATGCAGAACTCCAAAGTTGTTGTCCTAATACCAGCATTTACCAAGTATCAAATACAATGGGAACATACAAGTAGACTAGACTAAACACAAAACTATATAACATAACTTTCTTGGATTCGAAGACTCAATATTGTAAATACATCCACTCTTCAACAAAACACAAATTCAATGCAATCGTAATCAAAACATAGTGTGGCTTTTATGGAGATTGACAAGCTGATTCCAAACTTAACCTGGAAAAGGAAATTTACAATTGATGACCAACGGAAGAACAGTGATGGTGGCACCCTCGCCCAGACAAATAATAAAACGTACCATAAATCGGTACCAATTAATGCAGCGTGGTGTTTCTATAGGGATAGATAAAGAGATCAATACAACAAGACACAAACAGACCCATGCACATATGCAATTTAGTACACACTAAAAGTCAATTCAAAAAGATGGAGAAAGCACCAATCCCTTAACAATGGACAGTGTGGGAATGACCATCCAACCAGACAATAAAATTAGATGTCTAACTTGTGATACCAGAAAAATGTACTCAATATATACAGAGAGATGTATTTACAGGCTAAACATGAACAACAAAATTACGAAAGTTAGAGATGCAAATATAAAATAGTTTTATAATCTGAGGCGGGGAAGGCCTACCAAAGGGAGCATAAAACCCAGAAGCCATGAAGGAAATTTATTGAAAAGCCAATAATTACGTAAGCACTTGTAATTGCTTGAAGAAAAGCATCGCTAGCAAAACTAAGACAGGAGCAAGATGGGAAGGAAATGGCTGATGTATGTGTGACACCCAAGAGCTTACCAGACGGAATATACTAAGATTCTCTTAAGAAAATAGTGAAAAGAACTGAATGTTCAAAAATAGGTCAGTGTGATAAGGTGCTCATCCTAAATAGTAAAAAAGAAATAGGAACTGAACGAATATAATTGAGATATTCCACCCAGGGGCCATGAACTCTGGAGTCTGGGCCTTGCTGGAGAGACTTTGCACAGTTTAGAGTCAGTTAGGTATTTTAAAGTTTCATCTGAAGACAGATCTAATTGCTGGGAAAAAGTGGGTTGAGGCACGAGAAGGAGGGGCGGGGAGACAGACCCATGAGGGGGCTGTGGCCATACCCCCGTCCTGGAAGATAACAGCAGGAGCCTGGGCAGTGAAGCCAGGGATGGTGGTAAAGAGGACAGACAGACCAGGCAGGACCTGGCGACTGTGAGGAGCCATGAACCCCACGCTGCAGCCCAGAGTGACAGAATGAAAAGGGATCTCAGTGCGGAGCAGCTCAGGCAGGGTTAGTCACTCCTGTGGGTGCTCCTGGAGTTCTTTGCTCAGAATGCTCCCTAGCATGGGAGTGTGACAAGTTTAAATGCTCGTCTCCAGGCCAGTGTCCACTCCTCAACAGTAGGAATGATGTCTTAACCTTTGCATCCATAACAATGAACCCATAATAAGCACCTAAGGAGCACAGGTGAGTTTGGGGAGTTGTTGAGAGCCAGTGGCAGTGCCAGGACTTGAACCTTGCACTTCCATACTCCCAGGCCACTGTTCTCTCCCCTGCACAACTAGGAATGGGGAAGCGAGGACCAGAGCTGGCTGTGGGAGATGGAATTCTTGATTCCTCGGGCATGAAGTGGCTGCTAAGCACGGGTTTGTTCTGCGCTGCAGCACTTCTTCCCCTGGGCTCCTGTTCTTCCCCATCATGCTTGCTTTTACTTGGAACATTTCAACGAACCAGCCTGGAAGCCAGGCCCTGCTTTCCACCTGGGGGAATGCACTGGCCTGCCCGTACCTGCAAACTGCTTTGATCTTAGGAGTCTGCAAGCTCAGAAACCTATGACGGCTGTCTGCAGAGAGGCCCCCAGATGCCTAAGTCCTCTACCCCACCACAGCCCCACCGCCCACAGCCCCAGACTGTCGGTTCAGTCTCATTTCCCACGTGACTCCCTCAGTGATTCTGCCCTTCCAATCTGGTCGGGGAAAGCGGCTCAGCCAGTTTCTGCTCTGCGATATCCATGCTCCCCGGGCGGATGGCCAAACAACGGAGAGGACGCACTCCTCTGCGCGCCACCACCACCTCGCCCTGGTCTCCAAACTCAAGCCCGACCCTTCGGTGGTTTCCCCTCACTCCTCTCACCTGAACTCATCTCTCTGAGCCTCTGCAATATTCATAGCATGTACGGCGCCACTTAGCATTTAATTATATTTTGGTTTGCAATGCTTCTTCCTTTTCATCTTAATCACCTCCTCAGCACGCTTCACGATAAGCACACAGAAGGGTGGGAGGGGAAGAATGCACTCCAACCGAGGAGCCTCCTGGCAGAAAATAGATGTTACACTGAGAAGCCCAGAGCTCCGACCCTAACTCAGAAGAGGTGTGGGGGGAGGGGGAGGGGGCAGGACGTTGGGGGCAGGGCAGCGCTGATGCTGTTGCGTGGGTCTGCTCCCCCGCACAGCCCTCAAGAGCAACTGAGGGTGAGGGGCTTGTCAGTGAACACAGGTGACAGACCTTCTGGGAATGAAATGGGGGGCACTTTCTACAGAGCATTAAGGCTCTGCCTGAGCTGGTCGGGAGACATTTCAACAATTATGGTTACATCTGGCCCTCTAAGGTACCTGCAGAATTGCTCTGGGCCTTCTTGGAGCTGGTAAACTTGAGGGAAAAAAAGCCCTTTTGGAGAAACAGGAGGATTTGGCCATCCTCGTTTCGCCCTTAGCTCTTCTTCCCCTCGCAGGAAAAAGCGCTGTGCTTCACTGCTCCGCCAGGGGGTAGGAGAGGACACATTACACAGAATTTAAAAAAAAAAAAAATCCCAAAAGTTTTTCCCAAAACTGTGTTCCTCGTGAAACTGAATCCTCCAGCTGTGGCGTCCCAGGCGCCCGCCCCGACCCGCCGCGGCTCCCGCCCCGAGGCGGCGCCCCTCGCCCGCCGCCACCCCCTGCGCCCCTGCCCGCGCCCCCGCCCTCGCCCTCGCCCTGTGCTGTCCGCGCGCCTTGGATCCGCTGTTCCCAGCACCTTTGCCCCGACCCTTCGCCCTGAAGATGAACGTTTGGCTGCTGCTTGGTCTTCTGCTCGTGCACGAAGCGCTAGAGGATGGTGAGTGCCTCAGAGTGCGGGGTGACAAGTTTGTGCCCCTACTGTAGCCGGGATCCCCCGATATTAGACCTCCAGCCAGCCAGCTCTTTCCCCAACTCCGGACCTTCCGAGGCTCCGCGCCGGCGCCACTCCCTGCCGCGTGCACCTGCCCCTCCTAGTCGGGTCTCCTTATCTCCCTCTCGCCACCTCCTCTGGGTGCCCTGGGACGGTGGCAGCTACCCCGACTCTGAGCTCCCCAGCAGGACCGCTCCAGCACTCCCAGAAAGCCCTTGGCGGGCAAACGGAGCATCTCCAGCCAGCGCCTGGTCCGGCCCCCAGTGTCAACGTGTCGGTCTGGGAGGTGGCGCGGAACGGTGGCCGGCTTCCACCTCGGAGCCTCCGCGTTCGCTCCGGGATCTGTGCCTTTGAGGGTGGCTGCCACCTGAGCAAGGCGACTGCTGATTCTTTTGCAAAATTCCAAGTGTCTTCCTCCTCCCAGCCACATAAACCCTCCCGGGTTTATTTCCTGTACCACCTAGGGCTTGAATCCTGCAAGATATTCCTAAATCTTAGACCAGATATTTCTATGGATTTAAACCTCAAAAGGAATGAGAACCCCACAGCTGTTGATTATACTTCTGAACTGAGTGGATGGGAAAACAGGAAAATGCGTGTTTGTGCAGCACAAGGGACTCTTGTGACTCTACTTTTTCCAAAGCGTGCTGGTCCTGGGCCCACCCTGTTTTGGAGACTCACAACCAAAGGGTCAGGCTTTATTTTTCTGTGTGTTTGAAGGTGTTGTTTATGTCTATGTTATATCCATATTACTGTTAGTGTTTACTTGTCCTGCTGGCTCCATTATTTATTTGACTGGTATTATTTGTACAGCGCATTTTGCATCTGGGGGCATCCTGGCATCCTGGCATCCTGAACCCTCCCTTGGAATTCCTCAGCTACAGCCACAGCTTTCGCTTAGTTTTGGTTGAAAAGCAGCTTTTGCTATTATGCAACCTCACACTGGAGCCAGCTCAACCTGGCTCACATTTTATCCACTGCTCAGTCCTGACCAGCTCCTTTCTTTCCCATGAAACTAGACGCATTTGCCAAAAAAATACCACCTTCTAGACTGTGAAGTTCACGGTGGTTGCAGGACTTGAAGTTGAGCATGAGGCTCAACTTCAAGCCTGGCAGCCTTAAGCCTGGCATCTTGCTGAAAAAGATGTAGGGAGTGTTTCTACGGGGGCCGGGTAGTAAGCAGGTACTCTTTGCCCAGAGCTGGCAGGAGCTCATGTTGTCAAATGTGATACTAAGACGCTCCTGATTGCTAAAGTGATGGGAATGCAGCATTGTTATTGAGCAGGGCAGGAGATGGCCAGACAAAATAACCTCAAATAGCCCACACACTTGATTATACCGTTCACCCAGATGCCTGCCTTGGAGGCTCAGGAAACAGGGTCAGCCTCTGCCTTCTGGGTTTCTCCCGTCCCTGTGTGCCCAGACCACGGGACGGCTACAAACTGCCTGAATCAGTTAGCACTGTCTGCATCCAATGCCACTTATACCAGCAATGAACATTTATGAGACAATCAGAGAAAGTCCAATACACATTAAATATTTTATAAGAAACAATTGATTGGTTTTAGATGAGACAATAGCTCTGCGGCTTTTGTTTTTAAGGTATGTACTTTAAAATAAGGAGCATAGACAGTGATTAAAATGTTGAATACGTAATTAAAAAAGGAAATCTGCCTCGTGAAATTATATAACAGTTTCCCTAAACCTATTCAGGATGCTTTTTCTGTTTTGAGTTATGTTGTGGCTGGCTGGGGCCAGGAGCAGGCCAATGAGAGTGCGAGGCTCTGATTGGCAGGTTGGGATATGGTGTGTGGCCAGTTGCAAGCACAAGGTCATGACTCAGTGTATCCCACTGCCTTTCCACTTTTCTGATCACTCCTGGGAGGGGCCTCCTGCCAGAAAAAAGCTTCCCAGCAAGCGTGTGTTGGGTACATTGCTCTGTTTGCCTGGCCTAGTTCTAACTGGTATCATTTGCCTGGCTTAATTCTAAAATGCTTTAAATTCTTAGAAGTAGTGTCATTTCTCTTGATGAACAGTGGGAGCTGGGAGGACATATATTGCTCTTGTAGCCTGAAAGTGAGGCATGAAAGTAGCTACCAAACAGCCCGAGGTCCCACTTAGAAAGGCCGAGGTTCGCAGCACCTCGGAGTGGAGCTGTGTTCATTGCCTGGCACTGCCGCTTCGCATCACGAAGTGTCAAGTAACAGGCACTCGGCAACGTCTGACCATCTGCACCGTTTATCCAATGGCAGGAGCAAGTGGTGCAACCTGCGTATTGATTTGCTACTGCTGTTTAGTTGATCTTGATCAACGCTAATTTGATCTTCGGTCTAACATGGGTTTATTTGCAATCTTGGGAAAAGTTATCTTTCTGGGAGGACTGAAGGGATTCATTATGACACGAGGGCAGCACAGCTAGACCTCTGTAAGGAGGGCAACGCTGATGACGATTCGCTAACCAGGACTCTATCGCTTTTTTGTGTCTCAGTTTATTCCTTGGAAAAAGAGGGTAAAAATTAGTTCAGAAACTCTCATAATGAGAGATGAATTGTAAAAAATTCTCATTGTTGACAAGTGCAAATCACAGGTGTTTGGAAGCATGTAGGATTTTGGCCTGTGTGTTTGACGTAGAAAATAATCTCTGAACCTTAGACCCAGAAAGAAGAGAAGTTGGCGGGTGAGAGAGAGACCGGGTGTGCCGGCCGGAGGACCAAGAGAAGTCTCGGGGAACCATGGCTTCTCCCGCACAAAGTTGCAAAGCTTCACTTTGTGGTGCTCGTGATCTACTGAGGAGGACAGAAGAAGAATAAACAAGTAAAGATTCAGGAAGTGACGAGTGGCCTGAGGAATCACTAATTGGGGTGTATGCATTTCCTAGGGCTGCTGTCTCAAAGTAGCCCAGACTAGGTGGCTTTAGACAACAGAACTTGATTCTTGCACAGGTCTGGAAGACGGAAATCCAAAATGAAGGTGGCAGCAGGGCCAGGCCACTTCTGATACTCTGACTAGTGTCCTCCATGGCCTCTGCCAGTTCTGCTGGTAGCGCTGATCCCTGGCTTGCAGCTGGGTTACTCCAATCTCTGCCTCTGCGGCCACCTGGCTGTCTTCTCCTTGTGTGTCTCTCTCTTCACATGGCTCATTTTCGTGTGTGTGTGTGTGTGTGTGTGTGTGTCTTCCCTTCCTATAAGGACACCAGCATGTGGGATTAGAACCCACCCTAATGCGCTCATCTTAACCTGATTATATCTGCAAAGATCGTATTCCCACATGGGGTCACAGTCACCAGTACCGGGGGTTAGGACATCAATGTATCATTTTGGGAACACAGTTCACCCCATAACTCGGGACAAAGGGATGGAGAGGGCAGCAGATGGACTGAGAACGTGGTTCGAAGAGGAGCGTCAGAGGAAGCGAAGGCTGCAGGTGTCTGAGAGACACCGGGCCAAGGGCACCCGGGCCACAACAGCCTCGGGGTGGCCAGTGTGGCTGAAGGACCACAAGGTATGAAACAGGAAACGGCAAAGCCTCGTAGGGCCTGGGAAGACTGAGGGCTTTATTCTAAATTAGGTGAAAGCCGGAGAGAGTCTTGAGCAGAGACGTGCCCAGGATCCGATTCATATTTCCAAGTTCAAAGTGTTAGGGGGACAGCCAGAAGCCAGCATGTGGTGCAGTGTTAACGATCTAGTGGCCTGGTCCAGGGCGGTCCCAGTGGATGGAGGGAGAAGAGATGGGGTTCGGAGTCTATTCCAAAGGCAAAGCCATGAGGATTTGCTGCTGGACTGGACGTGGCTAAGGAGAGAAAGCAAATAATCGTGTGTGACTCCAAAGGTTTTGTCCTAAGAAACTGGGTGAAGCAAGTGGCCATTTGCCGATAAAGCCACACCGGGGAGGAGCATTGGGAAGGCCTCCAGCATCAGTGCGGGCACGTCTGATTGGAGTTGCCGGCCAGCTTTCCGAGCAGCAGTGCTGAGCAAGCGATTCAGATCCGGAGTGGAGAGGCGAAGTCAGGACAGGAACAAGGCAGCTCTCAGCACACAAATGCTGCCAACGCCCAGGGGACCGTGTGAGGCCGCTTAGAGATGGAGTGTCATTAGCGGCTGAGAGGCGTTGCGAGGATAAAGCCCTTGGGACTCAGACCAGGCAGGAAAGGGAGGTGAGGAAGGGCTGTCTGTGCCGGAGGAGAAAAGCCAGGCCAGTGCCGGGTCCTGGGAGCCAAGGAAATAAGGGTGTTTCACCAGACAAGGGATCACTTCCCAGCATGTGTACCAATATCAAACCGTTACGTTGTGCAGCTGCTACAAACACACTGCTACTAAACTACCTCAATTAAAACAAAGAAAAAGAAGCGTGATCAACTTGGTTGTCATGGATATTCTGAAAAATGTTTCCAAGTAAGGTCTTCACCCTGGAATAGAAGTATCTAATTCTTAGAGATGGCTATTTTAAGGAAACAGTGCTTTCAGAAACGGCAGGGTACTTTGGAGTGGGATTGTCGAAGGGAGTGGGGAAGGAAAGGCTCTCGTCTTTTTACATTTTCATCTCCCCAGCGTCAGTGCTTTCCCGCCTGCTCAGCTGTGGCCTTGGGAAAGTCTCTGTGTTCCTTTGGGTGTTTCTTGAGGAATGGAAAAATGAGAGTGAGGCATAGCTCTCAGTGTATGCGATCCCTGAGCTGCTCAGCACGTGTGTAGTGTGGTGGTTTGGGTGCTGCCCCTTACTGCCTGTGGGGAGCAAGCACCAAATAGCTACGAGGTGTTGATGTTAATAACTGTTCACGTGTAGTCCCCATTTAAGCAGCAGTCAGGGGTTCTTTGGATGAATGCATTTTCCCCTCCAACACAGTTCTATAGAATTAGAGGGGTTCATAGCCAGGTCACCTCTATTGAACAAGGGTTAATTGAATCTTCCGTTGATGCTGAAGAATCACAGTCCTGTCTCCAGCTTTGTAACATTTATTCATTCATTCTGGAGACGGTATTTTGCCTGGCATGCCTGTGCTTGGGGAGTCTAATGTATGCCTTGGGAAAGCATCTCCAGCCCTTCCAGGGAGGTTGTGCTCTCATCGCTGGCGTCAAGTTTTGTTTGCCTTGGAACTCGTTGTCAAAGCCCGGAGCAGAGCAAACAAAGAAACCACTTAGACAATGGCTCTGTGCATGAGATTCCTGCAAACAGAGTGAAGCTACTACAATATTTTTGTCTTTCTGTGAATTAAAAGACAACGGCACGAGCCAGAGAAGGCTCTCGACCTGCAGTCAAAGGGTCTGGTGTTTTACCACCTTCTCAGGGAGCCTGGGGTGAACCACCTGGCCTCTGGGATCTCAGTTTGTCTTTGCCTGTATACTAGGAAGAATAATAGTGTCTCTGCCTCCATCACACATTTGTCACAGAGCTCACCACGAGACAGTATCACACGGTGACCACAAAACAAGCAGCAAAGTCATCTGGCACCTACTGTGGGTTAGACACTGTTCCCAGGATTTTAAAATATTAACTCATTGATTCCCAAAAATCCATGGGAGAGTCATTAGCACCATGTAATTCTCAATTGACAGATGAGGAATCTGAGGCAGAGAGAGGCTAAGTAACTTCCCACTGTCACATGGCTGGTGAGTGAGTGGTGGTCAGGACCTGAAGGCAATGATGATACTTAATGGTTTGTGAATTTTACTACCTATTTATTATTATAAAATGCAGTCGTTTCAAAAAATGTCATGGGAATGAGCTTTCACTTTTATTTATCTACAATATAAATTCTTACGTGTTTTAGGGCATATCACTTACACAGTTAGAAATATTTAGCCCTGGCCGGTGTAGCTCAATGGATTGACTTGTGGGCTGCAAACGAAAGGGTTGCCCGTTCGATTCCCAGTCAGGGCACATACCTGGGTTGTGGGCCAGGTCCCCAGTAGGGGGCCCATGAGAGGCAACCACACATTGATGCTTTTCTTCTTCTTTTTCTCCTTCTCTTCCCCTTTCTCTAAAAATAAATAAATAAATGAATAAATGAGTCTTTTTTATAAAAGGAAATAATTTATATAGTTGGGCTGAAGAGTCACATCCTTCGAAAAGGAGCCCGGGGCCTGGGAGTCACCCGATCCTGGGACTGCCAGGGTGTCTGTGGGGCTGCTCTGCTCCTCTGACTCCTTGAACTTAGTGTCATTCCCATAAACCAGGGAGCAGCTCTATGGCCAAGCAGCTGGACCAGCTGTATGGATGGACTGGCGGGCCTGTTTGGTCGAAAGGTTAAGTAACTTTGTGGGGAGAACAGCACATATTTGGATGCCTGATATTCATGATGAGGTCATCAAATACTCCTGAGTAGGACAGTGCAAGGATCTGGTAGCTCACGAGTCGGACAAGTTGTGCTGGCTGCCTGCATTCCATAGGATTTACAGACAGTCACCATGTTTGATAGCTTGAAGTCTTGTCTGAGATAAAGAAAACGCAGCATATTGTCATTTTTTATTTAATCTTTAGTGTATGTGTTTTCCCATTACCATTTAGTCCCCTGATATCCCCCTCCCCCCAGCCATCCCCATACGGTTGTCCGTGTCCATGAGTCCTTTTTTCTTTTTGCTCAGTCTTCCCACCCTTTAACCTCCCCACCTTAGCTGTCACCCTGCTCTCTCATTATGAGTCTTGCTCTGTTTTGCTTGTTGGTTCAGTTTGTTCATTAGGTTCTACATATGAGTGAAATCATACAGTATCCATCCTTCTCTGACTGGCTGATTTCACTTAGCATAATGCTGTCCAGGTCCATCCATACTGTCACAAAAGGTAAAATTTTCTTTTTATGGCTAAGTAGTATTCCACTGTGTAAATGTCCCATAGTTGTTTTATCCACTCATCTATTGATGGACACTTAGGTTGCTTGCATATTTTGGTGATTGTAAATAACACTGCAATGAACATAGGGGCACTTACGTTCTTTCACATTAGTGTTTTGGATTCCTTGGCCATATTCCCAGAAGTGGGATCACTGGGTCAAAAGGCAGATGCATCTGAAATTTTTTGAGGTTTCTCCATATTGTTTTCCACAGTGGCTGCACCAGTCTGCATTCCCACCAACAGTGCAAAAGGCTTCCCCTCTCTTTACATCCTCACCAGCATTTGTTGTTTGTTGGTTTATTGATAATAGCCATTCTGGCAGGTGTGAGATGATATCTTGTTGTGGTTTTAATTTGCATTTCTCTGATGATTGGTGACCCTGAGCATCTTTTCCTATGTCTATTGGCCATCTGTATGTCCTCTTTGGAGCAGTGTCTGTTCAGGCCCTTTGCCCATTTTTTTTATTGGGTTGGTTGGAAAATACCGCATATTAGACATCAATCCAGAGGTCCATGAATCTCATAGGTGCAGTGCAACTGAAAGGCACAGATGATTTGACATCATCACAGTAGGCTTTTATTTTCTACCTTAAGAAAAATACGGTGACTTTCATTCTATCGCAAAACAGAGGCTTGTGCTTCACAACGGATGTTGCTGGCGAGGGTACATCTGTTGGTTTGACTTGTTTGCAGTGGTTACAGAGCCTCTCCTTTTGGGAGGCTCAGGAATTGTGTGCGCATGTGCCACTGCCCATCCCTCTGTCATCAGAACCCCAGGGGTAAGTAAACCAAGGTGCGGGGTCAGGAGAAGTCTTGGAAAACAGCAGTCTCAATGGCAGGTGCTGGGGACTCTCTTCGGTGACTGGGGCTCAAGAACTCAACTCTGCTCCCTGGAGAGACTGAGCAAGCTCAGCAGGGCTCGTGGCCCAGAGGGACCAGAGCAGAGGCAGGGACTCAGGCCTGGAGAAGGAACATGAAGTCACAGCCACACCTGAAGTCACGGAACACAGAGCAGGGCTCAGGGGACCAGGCCTGCAAGCCCAGTCAGGGCACCGAACTGAGGAGGCGTTGTGGATGCTGAGCTGGGCGTGGGACTGGGTCCAGAGCCCGGGCCAGGCTGAACTAAGAGCCGAGGCTCAATGGCTCCTGTTTCGAAAGGCAGAAGGCAACACACAAAGGAAGCCGTGTTCATCATTACGTGGTTGAGTCCAGAGCATTGACTTTTTGGTACAAACTATAACAGCATGGCTCCATGAGTGCTCACAGGGTGCCACACCCATGAGGCCAGCTCAGGTCAAGATAGAACATCTGTGGCAGTGTCCCTTGTGTCCCCTCCGGGTCATCCCCATCCCTCCAGGGAAACCACGACCTGACTTATAACCTCTGCCATTCAAGCCCGAGGTTTCTAAAACATCAAGTGTCTGATATTTATTAATCAGGAAATCTGCTTCTCTGCTGTCCCTTGAGGGATGAGATCCAGCATCCCTGCGCATGCGCCCCCGTGAGGCAGAGTCCCCTGTAGCAGGAGCAGCTGTCCCTCTCCAGCTCACCTGACTCACCTAGTGTAATCACCTGCCCGGCCTACTGCATCAGAGCTTGTAACCTTTGTCTTTTTCCATCTCTGGATCCCCAGCTCAATGCCTTTGTACTTGTGATCATTCCAAGGTAGTATTGGATAAATGCATACATGAAAAAAGGAAAAAGAGTGACTTTTCTCCTGATTATCCCACTTCTCTAGTTTAAACAAGGGCCCGTGGTTCCCTCCTTGGCCAGGGCTCTGTGGGTACCTGTTCAGAATGTGCACAGGATGCTGACCCGCACGCGGTGAAGTGGGCGCTTGCGGTGGGACTCGGAAGGCCCGAGTCCTGCGCTCCCATTCTGCCAGAGCCAGCTCTCTGCAAATTATGTAGCTTTCCGGGGCTTCCTTAGTTTTAACCTACAACACGAGGACTTGCCCTAAATGACCTCTCGTGGTCCTGTAAGTGTGGACATTTTATGATTCCGTGACCTTGAAGGTCACCTTGGAGCTCGTGCAGAGCGATGGGCATGCTGACCCTGCAGTCTCCTTCTCATCCCGCTGGGGGGACCCAGCACTAGGCCACCAACCAGGTGGACAGCTGGGCCTCCTGGGGCCCAGAGGCACGCCAAGGACAGGGCAGTGGGAGTCTCCCCCGCGTGCAGGCAGTAAGGGGAGCCCTGGCTGTGCCCAAGGGGAAATGGCAACCAAACGGACTTCAGATAGGTCCGTTTTTACCCTCACCACTGGCCAGCGAGTGTCCTCGATGTTGGTGATAGAAACTCCTCCCCCCAGACACTCTGTTGTCTAAGTTCTAAACCCTCGCGACAGCTTCTGTTGAGTCTTAGTGACTGATAGCAGTTTCGAATGAGCAGGGGTGTAGTGTGTGTTTCTCGCCAAACCTTGTATTCTGCGTGGGCATTGTTGGCCCCCGGCACACAAAGACGCCACTGCCCGCGCTGGTTTGGGCCAAAGTTCCCACGGGACAAAGTCTCCTGACGGAGTGGCGGTGCCCACGATGTCGCCACTTGGTGGAGACGACCTTTTCCTGCGTTTACACAGTGGGTCCAGACTGCACGCTGATAGCCCCGAGGTTGCGGGGACAGGAGACAGACCCTGCTGAGTGGCTTCAGTTCTGCCATTCTGCGCGACCCCCTAGAGATCGTGGGACAGAGTGTGAATTGCAAGGAAAGTATCCTCATTTCCTAAGGGCGAATGTCAGTTCCAGTGTGAAATATATCTGAATAAAACCTTTGAACCTGAAATACATTCACTTTCAGTAATTTCTTGTTCCAAAACTAAAGAATGAACCAAGAAAGCTGTGAGTATTACGGAAAATAATTTAGGTCCATGAGGAGAGGGCTATTGAGAAGGGGTGCAGGATCGGTGTTAAATACGCTGGGGTGTCATTGTTCTCTCCCTGCATCTGTCCTAGTCACTGGCCAGCACCCTCCCAAGAGCAAGAGTCCGAAGGAGCCGGGAGAAAACAGAATCAAGCCCGCCAGCAAAAAGGTGAAGCCCAAAATTCCTAAAATAAAGGACAGGGACTCCGCCGATTCACCGCCGAAGACGCAGTCTATCATGGTACAGATGATGGAGAAAGGTCGCTTCCAGAAAGCGGCTGCTACCCTGAGTCTGATGGCCGGCCAGGCTCTGGAGCTGCGGTGTAAGGGGAGTAAGATCGGATGGAGCTACCCCGCGTACCTGGACACCTTCAAGGACTCCCGCCTCAGGTGAGCACGTGTTTATTTGCATATTTACTTACTTACTTGCACTGAGTCGGGGTTTGGCTCCATTCCGTAACTAGATACTATGCTGTTTCTGACACGTGCTGTTTCACTCTAACACCTTGTGAAAATGGAAGCTCAGTGAACAAAAGTCATAGGTTTTACTTCTTTGACCAGTTAGAAAAAATTACAAATCTTATCAATGTTGGTTAAAACAGTGAAATTACATAGGAAGCCCTGTGACACATAATTGAAACTGTGGTACAGAGAGATGGGTATTTTAAAATTCATATTGTAAATAATAACGGACCCCATTCTTTATGTTATTTTTTAAGTAATCCTAATGAAAACTGAAATGACCTCACGGGAGATTCCTGTGAGCAACTTGACCTGAGACCAACTTAAACTCTTTTTGAAACTCCTCAACTGCTTCACATTAGTTTTACATCTCCTCGGTCTGTGATTTTTATATTCAGAGGCATCAGTGGGTAAGAAGGCTGAACATTTCTCACGTTTGAATGAGCACCTTCAGGAGGCGGGTTTCTTGCGCAGGAGAAGTGAGGATTTGGGAACCTGCGAAAAGCAAGGACGCAGAGCGTGCTTCAGCGGGTCCTGGGCGGGGCCTGCGGGGGTGGGGGTGCGAGTCCCCTGCGTCTTCGGCAGAGCCTCCTAACTTTCCTGGGCCTCAGTGTTTTCGTGTAGAGAATGAAGGGGCTCAGACTACAGGATTTCCAAGATCCTTCCCACCCATTTCTTCATATGATTTAGACTAGGGAAATGCAGGATACTATCTGTTTGGGATGACTGGAATGCGAGAAGAAAGAGTAGGGATAGTGGGCATCTCAAATTCTGCATATTCAAAACAGAGTCACACGTCTGCACAAGCTCCACCTCCGACCCTCACCTTCCTCTGGGACACCACCATCCACTCAGGTGCTCAGCCAGAAACCCAGGGAACACCCTTGCCTTGCCCCTCTCCCCTAATTCCCACATCCGGTCAACCGCCAAGTTTGGCCAGTTCAGCCTTCTAAGAGCCACCAGCCAGTCCTCTTTCCAGCTCTGCCGTCACTGCTCCAGTCCTAGCTGGGACCGACCCTCCTCACCAAGACTGCCATAACCACGGCCAGCCCAGGTGTGTCCCCCTCCAACCTCCTCACTGCAGCTAAGGTGCTGTTCTAAAAATGTTCTTCTGATCATGTCATTCCCCAGCTTCACAGTTGGTGGGTTCTGTGGGGCATAAAGTCCAACAGCCCCACGTGACTGCTGAGACCCTCCCCAATCTCTGCAGTCTCTCTGGAGTCACCGCTCACCTCTACATCTGCGTCTCTGCTCTCACTGGCTGGGCTCCTGTGACGCCGTCAAGTGCTTCAAGCTCTTGGAGCTGGAACCCTTGCCTGGGCCCTCCCTGCCTGGGTGGTTCAGCTGGTTGGAGTACCAAAAGGTACACCAAGAGGTTATGGGTTCAATCCCTAGTCAGGGTGATTTCTGGAGGCAACTGATCAATGTGTCTCTCTCACATTGATGTTTCTCTCTCTCCCTCTCTCTCTCTCTCTCTCTCTCTCTCTCTCGCTCTCTCTCTCTGCCCCCCATCCCCCACCTCTCTCTCTAAAAAATCAATAAACATATCCTTAGGTGAGGATTAAGAATAAAACAAAACCTGCCTGGACCCGCACTCATGGCCCCTCTTCCCCTGGCTAAGTCACTTCAGCCCCAGGGTCACTTTCTCCGGAGCCTGTATCAGCCCCACCCCCACCCCAGGGCCTGTATCCCAGAGCCCCTGGTGCATTCCCGTGTGAGAACACCTGCATTTCTTTAAAAATATGTTTTTCACTGGGACTTAAGTAAGAGCTTGGCATTTAGCTTTATCCATTGAATGACGAAATAACAATCTTTTCCCCTTTCTTTCTCAAACGTGCACATCTTGGGGAATAAATAAAGTATAAGTAATATCTCTCTACCTGACCTCTGGTGTTAAGACCTCTTTCACATTTTATCCTGAAGACACTCTTCTGGTTTCAGGGTGTATTACAGCGTAGGGGTTTTCTTAAAGGACAGCAGGCTGGAGGAAGAATGAGGGTGAGGAAGTGAAATGGTTTTTCCCACTTTCATCTCCACACGTGAAGCATACACGTGCAGGGTGCACGGTGTGTGTGTGCGTGTAGCCCCTGCTTGGAACAAATCTGGAATTATCTATTACCAGAAACCTTTTCATTTACCAAAGTCAGATGTACACATTTTTTAAAAACCAGAGTGGAGCTGTTTTAAGTTTAGTCTTTGACTTAAACAAAGCATCCTAAACCTAGATGATTTGGCCCTTAAAGATTTTAATCTTTTCTAGGAGTATTTCCAAAGTCATGTTAGCCAAAATATGTTTGAAAACATCTTAAGGACTCAAAGTCAAGTGAACATGAATCTGAATTGAAAAGAAATAGCCAGTAGCTGAAAAAGTCAGTTTTGACCTAACATTAAGTAGTATTCATTCAAAGCACAGTTAGGGCTTTATAAGAAAGTAAAGACAGGTGTGGACCCCCAAGGACTTTTAAAAAAAATGTGAAAAATGTGAAAAACATCTAGTCATAACTCTATATCAAACAACAACAAAAAAATCACGATTTATTGAGCCAGAGATTCAACAAATCGACTCTTGACATCTTTCCCGGAACGTGGTACTTTGGGGGAGAAGAGAAGTATTCATTCCGTGTTTTCTTTTCCCGTGGAATGAGTTCTTTCCATCGTCCTGACAGCTTTGGGTTGGATGCTTCCCAGGTGCACTTCCAACAAAACCTGGTCATTTTAAGCAATCTTGGCAGCTTTCTGGAACTAAGCTCCCGTGCTACCGTATTTGTCCAAATCTAATTCTCTGACCGGAAGAGGGAGCATGCTATGGAACAGAGAGGTCAGGCTGACACACAGCGAGATTTGAATCCTGCCCTTACCACTACCCAACAAAGTGATCTTTGATCCAGTAATTTCGCTGGAACCAAATTTCCTCATCTGGAATATGGAGGTGATATTACCTGTGGTAAGGGCTGCCTGACCCATGGTAAAGGTTCAATAAATTATAGTTAGTTATTACAAAGTAACATATATTTCTCAAGCACAGTAATCCAAATCTTGGGGACATTTGATTCTGACCAGGACTCACATAAATCAGGGAACCGTGCACAGCTATGTGGCATCTAATATAGAGGATCCAAGAAAGTTTGTACACTTCTGTCCCACTTTCATTTAATTGATCAATTCTTTGTAATCTGGGGCCTGTGTCCATCTTTTCCCCCAGGAAAGCGTAAGCCCCACAAGGCCATTTACAACATCTGTGTGATCCAGCGTCAGATGCTTGGCCCCTAGAACAGTGCCTGACACCTCCCAGAACTCAGGAAATATCTCCTTGGCTTCTCCAGGGGTTTAGGGACCAGCTCAGAAGTCAGCTCCTAGTCACGCGTGCCTTCATTCACTGAACATTTAAAGGTAATTCTACTCAGTGCCGGAAGGAGGGTAACAACAACCTGTGAATGTATTTGAGATCCCTCTCTACCCATCCCGACCCCTTCCGTCTGCACCTCTTCCCCTGTCTTCATCTTAGACAGAGGGGTCTGTCATTTCTACTGAGCTCTTGAACACATCTTAAGTAAGTTATTTTGCCCTCTGATTTCCTTCATTCCTATTTGGAAATTTCCAGCCCCAAATGAACCCGTTTACCTCCTTTCTCCTGTCGCACAGGGACGCTGAGCCCTGCTAAGGAATCCCTGTGGCTGGCCGGGTGGGTGCCGTGAGTTTGCGGCCGCCTCACTTGCGCCTGGCAAAGCCAAATACATTTCTTTCGAGAGCTCACTTTCCGCCTCTTCTCAAATCTCTGATCCCCATCTCTCTTACGTTCAGCTGGTGAAATTACCACCTCACTGACTGAGAAACCTGAACCATAGAATTGTCTTAACTTCCTCTTGTCACATCTCTTTCTTCCCTGCTCTCACAGTTACAGTGGCGACAGTGTCTCCTCTTGACCGAGGACAATGCTTCACCTCTGCCCTGGATCTTGTGCTTACAGCCCTTCCCAGGGGGAGCCCTAAGGTTTCAGTTATCACCTCGCCGTTCTGGCTCGTCACCCTTCTCAGTGGGACCCTTTCCATAAACCTTCTCCATACGAGGAGATCCCCCCGTGTCCCCTCCAGCCACCTCCCTCTCTCCTTCACCTTCACAGCCAGCCCACAGGAGGAGTCTGTCTCTACATTCATTGTCTTCCCTTTCCTCTCCTCATCACTCCTCAACTACTGCCCCCTGCTCCACATGTGTTCTTATCCTCAAGGTCAAGGTCAGTAAAGCCAGGCAGAGTTCAGGTTTCAATTCCCTGATAGCTGTTCTAGCAGGTCCATCCACAGAAGGGAACGCTCTCCTCTTGCTTGCACAACGCCATCATCTTCTGGTTTTCTTTCAGCCTCCCCGGCCCCTCCTCACAGTGTCCTTCACCAGCCTCCCAGCATCCTCTGCTGTCCCAGATAGGCAACGTGGGTTCTGTGCCCTCTTCTCTTCCCTCCGCCTGCTGCCGAATGCTCATTTATCTATGTCAGAGTAAATGTTTCTTCTAAGCTCTAGATCCAACTCTCCAACTGCTTGCCCAACCGCCCAGATCTTTCGGGAGTCTTTCTTTAAAAGTAGCCTGAGCTCATGGTCCTTCTGCAGCCCTGCTCATCCTCTCGAGTCTTTTAGTTTATGAATGGGCCTAATTCCATCCAGTTGCCCTTGACCAGGGGCCTGGGAATCACTTTGGACGCTTCCCTTTTACTCCCAATCAACAACCATGCCCTAAAGTTGCCACTATGTAATTATTTCTTGAGTCTCTCCACTTCTTTCCAGCAACAGCCCTAGTCTCTCACTCACAGCAACAATCGCATCACTGGCTGCTCTGCACCCAAGCTTGAACCTGACCTCAGTCCTCCATGCAGCAGTCAGATCTGTCAAAAAAGCACATCTGGTCCCGCCCTTTCCCTGCCTGGAGCCCCTCAGCTGAG